TGGCGGTACGGCTTGAGTACAGCTTGAGTACAGCTTGAGGACGGCTGATGAGTACGGCTTGAGTACAGCTTGAGTACAGCTTGAGGACGGCTGATGAGTACGGCTTGAGTACAGCTTGAGTACAGCTTGAGGACGGCTGATGAGTACGGCTTGAGTACAGCTTGAGTACAGCTTGAGGACGGCTGATGAGTACGGCTTGAGTACAGCTTGAGTACAGCTTGAGGACGGCTGATGAGTACGGCTTGAGTACAGCTTGAGTACGGCTGATGAGTACGGCTGATGGCGGACAAATTTTCGATTACATTATTTAGTATCGACAGCTTGAGAAATCTTGGAACGAAATTCCATATTCAATGATTGAAAAACTTCTCGATTCACTTCCTCATTGATCCGTCATTGACCCAAAGGGTATCCGACAAAATATTAATATTATTTTCTCTTAAATTTCTTTTTTAATTAATAGTTTGTTTTTATTTGCATTGTGTAAGTTTTTGATTTATCGGTTGAATTTAAGGTACTACTTGGGGTTCCTGTTGAACAATGCGATCATTTGGCGTTTCGACGTCATTTCGCAGATGGAAACCTGTTAAAACCGGTTAAGAACCACTTTTTCTAAAGCAAAATTTAACGAGAAATTCGAAAAACGTTGTTTTAGAACGATTGGAGACCGCTATTCTAAAGAAAATTCATTCTGAAAGTTGAGATTTTCAGTGATCATATTTGAAGGATTGAAATGCTTCAAAAACGAAACTAAACAGAAATACAAAATATACTATTTGCTAGATCTTGAATTGAGCTTTCAGAATATATATGGTGTTTGGGGGTAATTCCCACGTTTACATACCGAAAAATGGGCTTGAGCATGGGGTTTTTTTAGCGACGAAGATGACCAAGGGAATCGATTTGAGTACAGGGTTTAGAGACTATTCTGTCCGGTACTGTTCAGAACTAATTCAGAACTCTCACGAAGATTTTATTACGAAATTTGTCCCCTTGAAACCCCCAGCTGGACGAGCTGCAAGAGGCAACCAAAACCGGCAAAGGAGGCAAAGATTTGTCGAGAAATTAATCATTGTACTGAATAAAGAAATTTCGATTTATATATTAGAAAATTTATTGTAAACAAGACACTACGCTAAAATACAATACAACAAAGCAAAAGTTTTTCTCTTTAAGCGGCAGTGACCACTCGAAGTGTGTTGGTGTAGCCGGCTCCTAGAATTAACAAACTAGAATAAAGCTTTCTTTCTTTCTCTTTCTCTCTTTCTTTCTTTCTCTTTCTTTCTTTCTTTCTTTCTTTCTTTCTTTCTTTCTTTCTCTTTCTTTCTTTCTTTCTCTTCCTTGTCTTTTCTATTTCCTGTTCGAGAAAGAATACTTTCTATTTTAAAGTTTGCATTCTTCCAGCTTCCAGTTTCTCAATCTTTATCAGCTTACCTTTATGCCATCCAGTGATGACGACAAGCGTGTCCCCGCTTTGGATGAAACCTCTTTCCTTGCCGACTTGAATTCCGAAAGCGATTCGATTCTCCACATCCACTTCCCATACTGGATCACGTTCTTCTGCAAAAGGAAATGTTTAGATGTTGACTACAATCTAATTCAGCAATCAATGAATGTTTAGATCTTGATATTCAATCTAGCCAATCAAACTAGCCATTCTAGCCATTCTAGCCAATCAATCTAGCCATTCAATCTAGCCAATCAATCTAGCCATTCTAGCCAAGCTAGCCAATCAATCTAGCCATTCAATCTAGCCATTCAATCTAGGCATTCAATCTAGCCAATCGATCTAGCCAATCAATCTAGACAATCAATCTAGCCAATCAATCTAGCCATTCAATCTAGCCAATCAAACTAGCCATTCTAGCCAATCTAGCCATTCAATCTAGCCATTCAATCTAGCCAATCAATTAGCCAATCAATCTAACAAAAGATCCAACTTTTGAAATGAATCGGGAAGACTCCACGGAAGAGATGAAGTTGGCGAGAGGTTTGAGCCGATCGAGAGATTGACACAATTGGCACTGGCGCTCGATATCTCGACACTAGACGAGCAGTTCTAAAATCGACTTTAAATTTACACTCGAATCCAGAAAATACACGAAAATACAATCTCTTATCCATCTAGTATCCAGTTTTGAACTTTATTTACTGTAATTAATAAGAGATCATTTCAAATATCAATCAAATCCAGTAAACCCACTGTCCACTTGTTGTCAACAAAAGAATCGCGGCCGCATGACTGCTCATCGCTGCCTGAACAGCGGCAATTGCTGTCGTATGAGTTTTGTCCGTTGGTTTCCTCGTGCTTAACATAATCTCTTCAAAGAATTTCGTGTGATAGAAGGCTTTCTCGGCTTCTTTGCAGATCTGAAAAACAGCTTAGATTCTTTGAACTTTCACTGATACTGAACTGACAATGAATTCTGACAAGCTCCTGCAGCTTGTCAGGATTCATTGTCAGTAACTAGACCTGCTTAACGAGTCCGGACAAAATTTTCAGACAGTCTCCATCACTCTTCGAGTTTTTGCTACTCAAAGCTCCGTCAAGCGTGAAACCCAGTACCCCCGCAAATCCTTATTTTAGGCTTCATTTTGATACTAAACATGACTAGATTCTTTTTTGCCATTCTTTAGATTTCGATCAATCTTTCGCCGGACTCGATAAGCTTAACGAGTCCAGAAAAATCTAAAATCTAATCTAAAAAGCATCGAAATCTAAAGAACGACAAAACAGAATCTAGTCATGTTTAGTATCAAAATGAAGCCTAAAATAAGGGCTTGCAGGGGAACTGGGTTTCATGCTCGACGGAGCTTTGGACAGTAAAAAAATCGATGAGCGAGGCAGACTGTCTGAAAATTTTGTCCGAACTCGTTAAGCAGGTCTATCAGTAACCCTTTCAACATCCATAATAGGCAAGATTGTTCTAAAGAGAATGGCTTGACTGGCACAGAGATTCTAGAGTCTGGTTGATTCCTGCCAGTAATTACTAATGTTTTTGAGCTAGATCTGCAACAAAACCATGTCAAGAGCTGATTTCTTGTTTGGTTTTGGTCGAAAGGCCTAGGTTAGAGCGGGTAAAAGCAGCTAAAAGAAACCCAGGGTTAGAAAAATCTCTTCTAGGTTACTGGTTGATTGCTTACCGAGTGCATCATGAGAACGGTTTCAATTGGATAGTTTCCTTTCGCCGTCTCTCCACTCAACATCACACAATCAGCTCCATCAAGTACCGCATTTGCCACATCGGAGCCTAAACTTGACTAATCCTAAACTTTAAACTGACTAATCCTAAACCTAAACTAGAGCTAGGAATCGTTTTTTGGTGGACTATTGGGAAATATTGACAAAGAAAAGAACTTTATTATTGTTGAGAAAGGGAAAGACTGTTAGTTTCCACAATTGAAAATATTAAAAATACGAATTTACGATTTTTCTCCTACCAACTAACACTAAAAAGAGATTTTTGTGGTTTTTTGCTTTTTTTGATGAGATTTAAACGAACATTCGGCTCTTGTCGGCCTTGGTTTTGAGACCATTGATTCCAGCATTTGTGTTGCACAAATCACCGGTTTCCCAGCCGCATTGCACTTGGCAATCAACATCTTCTGTGCTAGGAATACCTGGAAATTAATGATCAATTAATGATCAATTAATGATCAATTAATGATCAATTAATGATTCTTATTAATGATCATTATACCAAAATAAGATTTTATTTAAAAGCATTTGAAAGCTGAAAGCCATTACGATAGATCGGCATTGGTCGGCAAGTAGAAAAGGGTAAAGAGCTCACCTTTTCCGGTGGAATCTCAATGCCGAGATCACCTCTCGCAACCTGAAAAGATCAAATAAGATATGCGCATTTGAATCTCCAAACCATCACTCCATCGGATCTTGAAATAATACCATCAGCATTCAGCACTCCCTCTTCACTTTCGATCTTCGAGATGATCTTGATGTGTGCACCACTAAACACTGCCTCTTAGAGCCTCACAGAGCCTCACAGAGCCTCACAGAGCCTCACAGAGCCTCTCAGAGCCTCTCAGAGCCCCTTAGATTGTCTCTTTATCTAGCATGACAGAAAAATCGAGCTTGATTGAGCTTGATATTCTTAAATTTACCCTAAAATTTGTCCAACATACCGTATTTCCTCTAATAGTAGTGCACCAAAAAGCTTTGCCTAAATTGCTCGAAATCTCAAAAAGCGCTTATCAGAACCTATCGATGTGCGGTCGGAAAATGTAGCTGTCGATGAGATCTAGTGGGGGATTTGAGTGTTGAGCTTCTGGGAAAAACTGGAAACTATAAAATAGGCATCAACTCGGCTCTGGGGCACTACTATTAGAGAAAACTAGTCCACTATTAGAGTCTACTATTAGAGTAGCGGACAATTCTTCCCCCTCAAACTCACTCATCTCCAAGAATCGATTTGAGCTCTCTGACACCAGCTCCATTACGAACAAATGAAGCGAAAATGATATCAACGCCTTGTTCAACCTGGAATTCAACAATTTCCTTCATCGTTGTAAGATTTGCTTTAAATTTCCTACAATTTATTCAATCTAAGCCTAAGCCTAAGCCTTTGTGAAAGTACAATCGCTACTTGTGACGATTTTCGGCAATGTTGGTGAATTATCTGTGCTGAAAGAAATAGCAATAGACTGTAACGTACTTGTGACTTTGTTTGTGAAAAGAACTCACTCCAAATCTCAAATCAGCCTTGTCCTTTTCCGTCACCGCTGGCAAATCGACTTTCGTCCCTGGCAAATTGACACCCTGAAATTCTGAAATTAATTCTTGAATACCTAAAGATTTTTATATTCAACTCATAAAGTGTACACTCAATTTTCACCTTTCGATTCCCTAGAAGACCTCCATTTTCCACTGTGCAAATGACAGCATTGTGATCAATCTCATCAACGATCAAGGACAATAAACCGTCATCGATGTAGATACGAGAACCTCAATGAATAGTCGGTAATCACTTCAACAAAGCTCTTGTACTTTTCGTTTCAAGAAGCATTGCATCTTTACTGAGTTAAAGATCACAAAAATCTCGTCTTTGTCTTTGTCACATTGCAATATTTAGTCTAAGACAGTTCTCTAAGCCAAGGCGAGGCAAGCCAAGACAAGCCAAGCCAGCTATGGAAAGCCTTGTTAAGAAACAGAAAAAGCTTTCCCATACCTGGTCTCACCGATTGAGGCAAATTCTCGTAATCGACATAGAGACAAGTGGCTGTGCCGCTTGACTCAAAATGGGGCTCGGTTGAGAGACGAATCGAGTGCCCAGCGATCAGTTCGATCTCGGCGCGAGTTCCCTGAACATGAACTCGATTTCAGATTTCGATCCTCTAATAAACGGGTAATCTTTTAATCCTTTAATCAAGGAATCAGGTTCTTTTAAACAACTCTGTAGACTTACAGCCGCTAGCAATCCTGTTCGAATCTCGGGTCCCTTCGTGTCGAGTGCAATGGCAACCTAGAAGCGTTTTGCTTTTGAATTTTGAAGATAGCTAGTGCAAGTCGATTAGAAATATTAGTGTTGAGCAATAGCTGCACCGGGAGGTTCTTGAATTGATAATGAAAAAAGGATTGATAATTCTTAATACCCATAGCTACCTACCACCATTGGCGGATCAAAGGAATTAGCCGCCTCTCGGATGAGACGAATCGATTCCGCGTGTGACTAAACGATCATTTTACATGGAAAAGATAAAAGCTTCATTATCAATTAGCTATAAGATAATGTCTTATCATTTTCTTTATATTTTGTCAACCTCATGTGATCCGTGTGAAAAGTTGAGTCGAGCTATGTTCATTCCACTCTTCATCAGCTCTTGCAGTTTCTCCACTGTGCCACATGCTGGTCCTAGATTATGAAAAGATTAAATATTCTTTAAAAAGCTTCAAAAAGCTTTAAGAAGTTTCAAAAGCTTTCAAGGAACTTCAAAAAGCTTCCAGAAGCATCAAGGAACTTCAAAAAGCTTCAAGGAACTTCAAGAAACTTCAAAAAGCTTCAAGAAACTTCAAGGAACTCAAAAGCTCAAGGAACTTCAAGAAACTCAAAAGCTCAAGAAACTTCAAGGAACTCAAAAGCTTCAAGGAACTTCAAGAAACTCAAAAGCTCAAGAAGCATCAAGGAACTCAAAAGCTTCAGAAGCATCAAGGAACTCAAAAGCTTCAAGGAACTTCAAGAAACTTCAAAAAGCTCCAAGAAACTTCAAGGAACTTCAAAAAGCTTCAAGGAACTTCAAGAAACTTCAAAAAGCTTCAAGAAGCATCAAGGAACTTCAAAAAGCTTCCAGAAGCATCAAGGAACTTCAAAAAGCTTCAAGGAACTTCAAGAAACTTCAAAAAGCTTCAAGAAACTTCAAGGAACTTCAAAAAGCTTCAAGGAACTTCAAGAAACTTCAAAAAGCTCCAAGAAACTTCAAGGAACTTCAAAAAGCTTCAAGAAGCATCAAGGAACTTCAAAAAGCTTCCAGAAGCATCAAGGAACTTCAAAAAGCTTCAAGGAACTTCAAGAAACTTCAAAAAGCTTCAAGAAACTTCAAGGAACTCCAAAAAGCTTCAAGGAACTTCAAGAAACTTCAAAAAGCTCCAAGAAACTTCAAGGAACTTCAAAAAGCTTCAAGAAGCATCAAGGAACTTCAAAAAGCTTCAAGAAACTTCAAGAAGCTTCAAAAAGCTTCAAAAAGCTCCAAAGCACTTCAAAAAGCTTCAAAAAGCTCCAAAAAACTTCAAAAATCTATTATACCATTAAATTCTAAGAGCTTCAGTAAAAAATTCGTTTTTGCGCAAAAGAATTGTCTAATCCAATAGTTTTCATCGCTATCTTATTGAGAAAAATTTAAATTAGCATTTGACCAATGCTTGATCTGATTGATTGACTGATTTAACTAGAATTTCGAAATGTTTTTTGATCCAACCAATCGTGCAAATGATTCCCGTATTCCTGACGGGTGCCACCTCGTGAAGAATGTCCAAATTGCACAGATGCGACAAGTGAGTGACCGCTTGCACTTCGAACTCTCTAAAAAATCTCTGAATACTATTATCCTAACAAAACTCTTTATGTTTTATTGTATAGATTTAGGAATGTTAATCTAGTTGGTCCTTTTATGAATTGGGGCCGGGAAAACAAAAATGGACGAGGCCGAGATTCGAACCCGGGACCTCTTGCCTACCTCCGGTTTGCCCGGCGAACCCCCTACCAACATGAGCCAGCCGATACGTGGCAGGACGACGCCAGAACAGAGGCTTATCGCTTACTACCTGTCAGATCATACTCTGCCAAAGAAAATAAGAAAAATGCTTATTTAGGGGATAAAAACTTTCAAATACCGTATTTTCTTTAATAGTAGCGCACCCAAACCTTTGCCTAAATTGGTCGAAATCTCGAGAACCGCTTATCAGAACCTATTGATGTGGGGTCGGAAAATGTAGCTGACGATGAGATCTTGTGGGGGATTTGAGTGTTGAGCTTCTGGGAAAACTTTGGAAGCCGTAAATAGTCATCAACTCGGCTCGCTTGGGTGCATTACTATTAGAGAGAATAGAGAGATTAAAATTTGTCCAACATGCCGTATTCTAATGCACCAAAAGCAGTGCATTCTGATAGTAGTGCACCAAAAGCGTCGCCTAAATTGGTCGAAATCTCGAAAAGCGCTTATCAGAACCTATCGATGTGGGGCCGGAAAATGTAGCTGACGATGAGATCTAGTGGGGGATTTGAGTGTTGAGCTTCTGGGAAAAACTGGAAGCCATAAAATAGGCATCAACTCGGCTTTGGGGCACTACTATTAGAGAGAATCCTATTTTCGAAATCTACCATAAATCAAGCCACCAATTTCTATCGATTAGTCTAATTTTAATGAATTATGCTTAATTATATGAAAATTGAGCTGATCAAATGTAAAATAACAACGGAAATTTTTAAAAAATCATCTATCTAAGCAGCCAAAAATGCGGTGATCATCTCTTAAAGTTCAATTAAAAAATTCTGTTTATTAAATGATTAGATTAAATGATGAGATCTTGTGGTGGCTTTGAGTGTTGAGCTTCTGGGAAAACTTTGAAAGCCGTAAAATAGTCATCAACTCGGCTCTGGGGCACTACTATTAGAGAAAATGCGGTAATCATCTCTTAATGTTCAATTGAAAAATTCTATTTTGAATTGAATTGATCCTTTGAACAAAATTGTTCAATGATCTTGTGATTTCATTGTTTTGATTGTCAAAATGACCAACAAATCTTTTGATCACCAAAGCGTACAGCTCAAGAAAGAAAATAACGAAATTTTCAACATAAAAGTGACCAAAATTATGTAAAAGCGTAAGTATTACAATTAATCTTTAGAAACATTGACTTTAGAAACAAGTAGCTAATCAATTGCAGTAGCTAATCAGTAGCTAACCAATTGCAGTAGCTAATCAGTAGCTAATCAATTGCAAGCTCAACTCACAAAGATAAACTTGTTTCGTTCATTTCTAAATCAAAAAAATCACAAAGAAATGTTGAAAACTCGAGATAAACTTGAGATTTTCTCAAAAATTACCCAAAAACCAAAACTCAATAGACAAAATGGATGAAAAAAGATAAAAATAGATAAAAATAACTCACGCGATAGTGAATTTTCGCTCCATTCGGTACTCCAAACTGAAAAAGTCAACTTATTACATGGTAGGGGATTTTTAAAGAACTAGTGAAACTTTCCGAACTCATCACTTTATTTAGAGGACAATAATATTGTTAACTATTTATAACTAGTTTATAAAAGTTTTCCTTTCTCTGCCGCTCTATTTGCCTTTAGCCGAATAATCTTCTATAAACTATATAAATAGATAACAATATTATTGTTTCTTTGTAAAAGTTTTTGGCTTTAAAATAGTACAAAATGGCTTCTTGGAAAAGCCACGAACTCGAGTGACTTCTGTTTCCTTTGCAACCAACTCTATTCATCCTAAAGCCTATTTTTTTTTAAACATAAATAGATAACAATATGATTGTTTCTTTATAGAAGATCATTTAGGCTTTAAAATAGTACAAAATAGAGCTTAATTGGGCTAGTGAATCAAGAGAAAACAGCCAATAACTCGAGTGACTTGTCACTTGACTTCTCTTGATTACTAAGTCCAAGCAAGCTCTATTTTATACTCATTTTAAAGCCTAAATAATCTTCTATAAAACTAATATAAATAGATAACAATATTATTGTTTCTAGATAAACTTTTGAGCCTTTAAAGTTCCATCTAAAACCTAGATAACAAAAAAGGTTAAAAATCATTATTTATTGATGACCGAACAAAACGAATCCTTATTTTCTTCACATGAAAACCATGAAAACTTACGATATTTCTGGTTTTTGACTCTTGCGATAAAAATTTCAGAAAATAGAGAAAAATTTGGCTTTTTTTTCTTGACTGATTATTTGGGGCGGTATCGGGCGATCTTTTAGACTGTTTTTATTTCGTTTCCTTTTCTTTTTCCTTTTCTTTTTCTTTTTCTTTTTCTTTTTCCTTTTCCTTTTCCACCTTTTCCTTCATATCTTTTCATTTTTCTTTTCTTTTCTCAAAAAATCCTTTCATTTTTTCCTTTTCTGATACTAATCGATTCCCCTTTTCCGTCAAAATGTTTAGATCGACTTTGTCAACAAATTTTTTGAGAAAAAGAACCGATTAGATCGATTAGAAAGGATCGCAAAGAACAATATATTGACATAAACGTCTGTTTATTTCAAAACTGTTTCCCCCGTTTTTTTTAGCTAATTTGAAGAAAAGAGTAGACTGTTCATGAAAAAAACAAAAAAAATTTTCATTTTTCTAAACTATCGGCTAAACGATTGTCATCTATTTGCAAATATTTATGGAAATTCGAATTCCCAGAGTATTAGAGTACTAGTACTAGAGTATTAGAGTACTAAAGTACTAGGTATTATTTCAACTAGATCAAATCCCAACGCTCACCGAGCTCAACACGAGATTTTACAACAAAAAGCACAGCAACAATGACAAATCATCTGATTGTCAGTAAAAAAACTGAGGATCTAGATGACTTGCCTATCCTTTTTTTGTACTTTGAATTCATTGACACAAACTCAACGTTTCTGGCGCACAACAAAGCGCTTTCTTCTTGCCAGAGAAGTTCAAATATCTAACCTATGCGATAAAAAACAATTGAGATTTGACAATTGAGACATTTCCGGTTCGTCTATGGCAATTCCTGCTCCCATAGTCACTCGTCAAACTCATCATCGGTCTTGGCTTTGAGCTTTGGCCACTCAGTAAAAAGATTAGTTTTTTTTAAAAAGAGTTTTTTAGTATTTTGTTAATCAAAGCTTTTTTCAAAGCACCCGTACTTTCAAAAAATGGGTCTTTGGTATCAAAAAATAGCTGAAATTCAGGGCTATTTTTTGATATTTAAACGCGCATTGTAGCATAAACCAGTGTCGAGAAAAACTCGTTCAAAGCTAGACTACGCGACGCTCCGCACCGTCATTATGGGGGTGGGGTACTATTACAGTATTTACGGTATTTATACTTTGATCTTTATAATTCCTTGTGAGCCCGTGCCTCGGTTTGGTTTAATGGTAAATTTCTTGAAAGCGCACATTTTATCAAAACTTTCCCTTATTACGGCAAACTTCGCTCAAACTGGAGCAACCCGGCACTATCACAATTACTTCAACACTTGCGTGTGAAAAAAGGATGATAGAAAAAGGAGACCTCAACTGCTTAAATAATGGGTTTTTAAGTACACAAGCTACGACAAACGGACAACTGAATATCGTCTAGTGGCTGATTACGGCAGTTTATTCATCGACTTTGAATTCTAACTTGTTTATTGAATTTTGACTAACCGCAGAGCAGTGGCAATTCGCCTGAAAAATTCAATTTAAATGATCAATTCGGATTCGATCAACCGGCGATTGTACTCCAAAAAATTGAAGCTGCAAATTGATTTGAAGAGGAAAAAAAATGATTAAGTTTTAATGTTGTCTGTGATTACGAAAAGTTTAACGGGTTTCTGGATTTCGGTTGACTTTAGCTTTTTTTTTTTTTTTGTGTTCTGCATAATGAAAAAGTCTTAAAAAGAAAATGATTTCAATTTCTCAGTTTCACTGAATATTTATTATTCCCTTAATAAAAAGATTTTCAATTCAAGAAAATCAATCAATTTCTCCAGAACATTTAATTTAAATTCGATTTCTAAAAGTACTGATTGCAATTCGCCACAAGTTCTTAACATTAGCACAAAATTTTCATTGTTTTCTATTTCAAGACACAGTTTTAAAGATTTTTTTTTCGATTTTTGTGCGATCTCTCTGAAGAAATTGGATATATTAGAGAATAAATCGATCGAGAAATCCAGCGAGAAATCGTGCACACCAGAAACCGATTTCTAAAAGACACAAGGAATTGGGTTTTTTTTGAATTCAGCTTTGAATTCATTTTTAAATTTCCCCAAAATCTCTATTTTCCGATTTCAACGCTCCTTTTCGGCTTTAGTTTTATTTGGCGAGTGTCGATGGAAATACCCCAGAATCCCCAGGAGAGAATGGGTGAAATGAATTCCTGGCTGTAACACTTTTCATCCTGACACATCGCACTCTCCCGGGAATTACAATCACTTCAACATTTTTTTAGAAAATTCAGAATTGAGATGGAAAACTTGCCAAAAAACTAGTTTACTAAGTTGCCTTGAAAAACTAGGGGTTTACTGTGGATTGTGATAAGTTTACAGTACTTCTAAGGTACTTAGAAGTACCTTAGAAGTAGTTTTGAACTTATGAAATGTACAGGGTGTCTCAAAATTTTAAATCTCCTTCAGACATCTCAAAGTAACGTAAAACTCGAAAATTTCTCCGAAACAACGATTTTATAACAAAAAAAGATTTGAATTCAAACAATTCAGTGAATAAAAATCATTTTGATTCGACATCTCCACTATTTTTCGAAATCCATTGCCTCAATCGCTTATGAAAAGGCGTCAACGGCTTTCTCGGAATACTTAGAGAAATTTCATCCAAACCTTTCATCCAAACCTTTCATCCAAACCTTCCATCCAAACCTTTCATCCAAACCTTCCATCCAAACCTTTCATCCAAACCTTCCATCCAAACCTTTCATCCAAACCTTTCATCCAAAGCATCCATTTCAGTCTCTGTAAGACTTCGTAGAAATCGTAGAAGACTCTGTAAGACTTCAATTGATGTGTGTGCCTTAGGGCAAGCTTTTGACTTCAAAATAGATCCGATAGAGTAATCGAGCTGCTTAAGATCAAGGCTATTTTAAAGGTCAATCTCCTTGATGATATCAACAGTGATTTGATCGGGAAAATTTTTGAGAAATCCAATCTTGTATTGGGTTGGTGAATTGAAAACTGCCGGACTTTGAACTAAAATTTATTCAACATGAAACCATCAATTCATTTCAAATAATTTCCATTATTATTGACGATTTCTGTCCATTTTACAGGCAATTTGCGGATTCCTCTTTCGTAGTAGGATCTTGGTTTTGAATCGAAAAACTTCCAAAGCCAATTTTTGGCTGCTTCTTCCGAATCGAAGTGTTCTCCCGCAAGCTCATTACTCATAAATAGTAATCAAAAGGGGCGAGGTATTAGGATTAGGAGGCAAGGGAATTAGCTTTGAAGCAAACTGTTCAACCAGCTTATAGCTAAGGAAATCTGCCTGCTCGCAACTTTCAGCCATTGAAAAATCTATGTCAGTTAAACTTTTAGCTTGCTATCTCGGGATGTTTGTCGCTGGGACGGGAAATCTTCTACTCGGCATCTCGCCATCTGAACATTTCCCCCTAATGATTATTGTCGCCGGAGCGGTGTCGTTTGGTAATTTTCAGATCTCAGCTTTCATCCGAAACTACTCATTTTCTAGGCATCCGGACTTTATGAGGATTGCGCCAAAAGTTCCCAAACAAGGCTATTTATTTTAGAGCGAGTTAGTTTTGCAACATGAGGGCGCGCGTTATCGTGGATGAGAACGATCTTTGACTTGGAGTGCTTTGACAACTATTCTTCTTCAGGGATTCATTCACCTTTCCCAACTGTTCACTGTATTTGATTGCATTAATGGTCGTCTTGCTATCCAGCAACTCCCAGTACACCACTCTCTCCATATCCCAGAAAACGCAGAGAATAAACTTCTTCTGGTGCAAATCGGGCTTGGGATTTAGTAGGATTTTGGTTTGGGTGTGAGACAAGTGTGAGACTCAAAAATTGAGGACTGGAGATGTCGAGATGTCCCAGTTTGAGCACTTTCTTCAAAAGAAACCCATTTTGGTATCAATAGAAAAGTTGTAGAGAATCAAAAATTAGGTTTATAGCCAAATTTCCAAAAAGATGCACTTAGTAGTTTCGCTTAAAATGCAATTTTTGTGAAAATTCGTAAATTTGGCATTTCTTGAAAACCAGTTTTTGAATCGTTCTGAAAATTTGGATATAAGCTTGATTTTTGATTCTCTACAACTTTTCCATTGACACCAAAATGGGTTTCTTTTGAAGAAAGTGCTCAAACTGTCACATATGACAATAGCCGGCAGTTTTCAATTCACCAAAGCAATAGATTAGATTTCTCGCTCTTCCCTCTTCGTAGTACAACACAATTTTGGAAAAGCTCAGTAAAGAGCGAAAAATCTCCTCAGAAATGCATTGTTTTTCGTTTTTGACGAACAAAAAGCTTTGAGTTTTTGAGGAAATTGAGCTTTTCAATGTTTAACAAAGCTCTTTGTACTCTTTGTACTCTTTGTACTCTTTGTACTCTTTGTACTCTTTGTACTCTTTGTACACTTTGTACACTTTGTACTCTTTGTACTCTTTGTACTTGCTCGAAATTGAAATCGCTCAATCTGGTACTGAATTCTCAAATTTCTCTATATCAATCATCGATTTCACAAGTGAAGATCGATAATTAAGTGTGGCGCTAAGAGTGGGAGTGTTTACAAATTTGAGCACAAAGTACATCGCAATAAAAAGCTCGCAATCAGTGCTTTGAAATGCTGAAAACAAACATTCAGTCTGGTGCGATGAAATCCCCGAATTTCTTCTGTAGGAACGCCTTGATTTCACAAAGAAACTGAAGAATTTCGTGCCCCAGAAAGGGTACATTTTTGAGCTCAAAGCAAACTTTTGCTTAAACTTTTGGTGTTCCTATTAGACTTGTGTTTCGGTTGGCTCTTTTCGGTTCGGTTTCGGTTCAACCGAAGTCAACCGAAATCTTTCGGTTCGGTTCAGTTCAACCGAAAAGATGAGTTTGTCGGTTCGGTTCAACCGAAGTCAACCGAAGTCTTTCGGTTTGGTTCGGTTGCACGAAAAGATGAGTCTTTCGGTTCGGTTCGGTTCTGTTGAATCGAAGTCAACCAAAATCTTTCGGTTCGGTTCGGTTTAACCGAAAAGATGAGTTTGTCGGCTCGGTTTGGTTCGGTTCAACGGAAAAGATGAGTTTGTCTGTTCGGTTCGGTTCCGGTTCAACCGAAGTCAACCGAAGTCTTTCGGTTTGGTTCAGTTGCACGAAAAGATGAGTTTGTCGGCTCGGTTTGGTTCGGTTCAACGGAAGTCAACCGAAATCTTTCGGTTCGGTTCGGTTCAACCGAAAAGATGAATCTTTCGGCTCGGTTCGTTTAACCGAAACCGAAACCAAACCAAAAAAGAACGTTTCCGGTTGAACCGAAACACAAGTCTAGTCCCTATGTTCCTTTTTTTTTGTAAATCAAGAAAGCACAATTTATTTTAATGATGATCACAAAAAAATAGATTCAAATGAATAATAATTCTCTTTTTCTTTTAAAAGCATCATAAAAATTCGATATATTTAAAGCGTTGAGAAATAGAAAAAAAAGGCTGAAAATGGCAAAGAAAATTCGAATTTTAAAGTGAGCAGAGAAAAAAATGGAAAAAAATGGAAAAAATGGAAAAAAAAGCAATTGGCAAAGCTTTGATGAACAAAAATGCCGACAGATTTTTTTTGAATGAATAAATTGAAAAAAAAACTGTACATGATTTGTTTTTTTTGTGGTGAAATGAAATGTTGAAAGTGTTTCTCTTTGTTCTTTTCCTTTAAACCCAATAAAGTCTTTTTAGCTGACCGGATTTGATCTAACAGTTAAAGATTTATTTTGTGCTCGAATTTTGTAAACGCATCTTTCTAGGGCAATTAGTCTTAAGTCATAGGTTAATGGCTGGAGCTGGTGGCTTAAAAGATTCCTTCTTTTCCTCATTATTATCCCTTAACAACAAAGAAATATTGAAATGTTTCTCTTTGTTCTTTTCCTTTAAACCCGATAAAGTCGTTGTAGCTGATTGGAGATGAGTCTCTTGTCTCCTAGTCTTAAGTCATAGGTTAATGGTTGAAGCTGGTGGCTTAAAAGATTGCTACTTTTTCTCATTATTATCCCTTTCTTTTTCTTAACAATATTTAGGGAATAGGGGTAATTAGAAATAAAAATTGCCTCCTTTTGATTGTCTCTTATCTCTTGTCTCCTAGTCTTAAGTGATAGGTTAAGGATTCGATTCTGGTGGCTTAAAAGATTCCTTCTTTTTCCTCATTACTATTTTTTTCTTTTTCTTAACAAAATTTAGAGAATAGGGGGTAATTAGATTAAAATTGCCTCATTTTTTTGTCTCTTGTCTCCTAGACTTGAGTCATAGGCTAAAGCTTCGATCCTGTTGGCTTAAAAGATTGCTACTTTTCCTCATTATTATCCCTTAGAAATCAAAATTGCCTTCTTTTTATTGTAATTCATCGAATAAATCGACTTTAAACGAATTCTTTCTATCGAGTTCTTCATTTTTCTTTAACAATCGATAAATAGAAGGCCTCGATACGCTAGAAAGTTTTCTTAGTTTAGAAAAATGTGTTTACAGTTTTTAAACAAATCTAAAACCTTTTCATAGCGTATTTTAAGCTTAAATATACAACAAAAACTTTTTCTGACACACTGAATTTCTTTCTTTTGTTATAAAAAACGATTTTTCATCATTTCTTCTTATAAAAACAATCATTATCAGAAAAATTCAGAAAAATGAAAGAATTCAGTGCACTAGAAAGATGAGTTTACAAAATTCGAGCATAAAATACATCCGTTAACTGTTAGATAAAAGATTTAACATCAAAAACATTTCATTTTCAACTCTAAAAACAAAAAAAAACCCGTATGACGAATCTGATGAGTTCGTTGTATAGAAAATCCTTTTTTTTCATATAAAAACATCAAAAATATATATAAATATAGACAGCTGAGCATCACAGATAAATTTCTAGAAACAAAAGCACGGAAAATTAAGAAAGAATGCCAACTATTGCGTTTGTGGAGGCGTTCGTCGATCTCGATTCACCTGGAAAAAAATATTTGCCTCTTGAATGGCCCACTTTAAAGGCCTATAACTTTGTCTAGAAAGCAGATTTTCAACAACTTTTTATACCATTTTATAGAGGAGATTTCAGGCTTTTAAATAATACCAAATAAAGATTGATTGGCTTTTTCATTCCCATGCAAAAAAGGCGACACGACAACCGAGTTGGATAGACCCGAGATAGACCTCATTTGTCGAGTTGGCTCTGATTTTCTTTGACTCGATTATCCAATCAATCTTTATTTGGTATTATTTGAAAGCCTGAAATCTCCTCTGTACAATGATATAAAAAGTTAGTGAAAATCTGCTCTCTAAACAAAGTTATAGGCCTTTAAAGTGTGACGATCCGTTCAAAAGCCGGGATTTTTTTTTGAAAATACTTGAAAACTACGTAAGAGCTAAGCGTTTTATGATTATATAATTGCATATAATTGCATATAGTTGTTATTTTTACCGTAGAAATCAATAAAGAGCTGATTTTTTCACCTCATTTTCCACCAAGCAATTCCAATCGTTTTGTGTTCGATCCGAGAACGCCAAATCGTAGGGTGGAGGAGCTGAAAAGTGACTATTGTCTTGAGAAAAGAGATCTTTTTTTTCTACGAATGTACTTTATGATTCAAAACACACCTTCCTTAATGCACTCATTTAGATCTTTTCTTTATAATCCTTACATTTCGATGTTGTAGTTTGTGCTCGAAAAAATTGGAAACGAACGAATCTTTTCTAGTGCATTCAATTCAATTTTATCCATACCAAAGCGGTTTTTTCTTAGAAAAAGTAAGAATTTTGTACACCAGAAAGGGTATATATGTCGTAGTTGTTTACGAAATTCAGCTGCGCTAACGAATGATTCGTTAACGGCTAGCCGATTACGAAGGAAATTTTTCGCTAGCCGTGTACAATTTGTAACCGGCTTCTGCAAATATGGCTCGAATCAGTTTTGATTTCAAACTATTTATGCAAGACGCAAATCTAGCTTAGCTCAAATCGCAAATCGTTAACGGTTAGCCGTTAACGAATGATTCGTTAACGGCTAGCCGATTATGAATCACTCGTTATCGGCTAGCCGATTATGAATCACTCGTTAACGGCTAGCCGATTATGAATCACTCGTTATCGGCTGAGTTTCGTAAACGGCTACGACATATACATTTTTAAACAAAACATCAAAGTTATCGCTTCGATTTTAACGCTTTGAAACCTGAGAATCCTATGGAAATTCTAATCTCTAATTCATCTCTTTTTTTTCTGTAATTCTTTTACCTTCATAGATTTTCGGCGGTATTGTGTCCACTGGTCTGTACATTGAAACTGTTGTCGTCATTGTGTTTGCAATTACTGAAAATTTCAGTAAAAACCACCATTTGTTGGCTTGAGTTTATTTAGCTTCTTACTGTGTTTGAGACACTTTAAAAGACTTTAAAAAACACTTTAAATTGGTTTAGTCTTTTTTGAGCAAAAGCTCAAAAGCTTTCTGAGGAGATCTGCAAAAGCAAAAGCAAAAGTAGAAAGCTTTTGACAGTGAGAGGACCAGGGACCAACCGCACGAGGGGCCAGCGTCCTATCCACTACACTATCCAATCACTAGGCAAGCCAGAGTAATTCACCCCCATACCGCGGCGGCGTGCTCAAACTTTAAAAGCATTTTTCTCGAAAACTGGATGCTATGGAATAAAACTGAAAAACAAGTATCCCTTAGAATTTCAAGGTGGCGTTTCTGTGCTAGATTCGATATCCCAAATCGATCTTAAGTTAGAGCAGTTTTCTAGTAAGAAAGTCAAGCAAAGCCAGGGTCAAACCAGACTCTCTTCTGGCTTGGTTGATCCAGAGAAAGCTCTTCGGTGTGAGAAGCCAGGCTTCCAGTCTCTAGAGCTCTAGAAACATTTCTACTGTTTCATGGAAAGTGATCAGACTTATAGTTAGCTTACGATACCTTAACAGCACAAGTACTGGCACCATTAGTAAAGAAAGGAATGGTAAAGAAAATTTCTAGAGAGGGGATTGAACCCTCAACCTTCAACCAACCTTCAACCTTTTTGCTTTCCGGGCTGCTCTAACCACTGAGATATCCGGTTTCTTTTTGCCAGAAAAGAAAGAGAAGGAATTAAGGCATTAAAGTCAAGCCTATGGTACTCCCGTATCTTCCCTGCTATTTTACATTATCCTCATCTATTCTCCAAATCTTATAATAGTTTTATTTGTAGATTTTGTGCTTAACTGACCAGCGCTTTGTAATATTACTTTTAGGATTTCTATTGGCCCAGCGGGGAAACTACGGTTGATGGAAATTGGTATTTATCTTTTGGGGGAACAGAAGAACTAAATTTAGTATTATAGTTAACAACTTTTCCTTATTTAAAAACATTATTAAAATGAACCGTTTTGATCTCGATAAAGCGGACAGCGTTTGATCTTCTTGCAGAGAATCGATGTAATGATGATGATGAGACAAACGGAGGCGAGACTCGTCAAAATGATCACAGCAAGATAACTAGAAAAAAAGAATGATTTATTACAGTTAAATCTTTATTTTTTCATCTCTATTTCATCTCTCTTCATCTCTCTTCATCTCTTTTCCTACTTTACATGTTCTTATTTCCCTTTTTCTCCTTCAATCTCAAAAAATCTCAAAAAAAGATCGAATTTCAAGGAAGATCTTGAATGTAAAAATGGAAAAAGCGAAGAAAACACAAAAATTTTCTTTAAATCATTGTACAATTGAGGTAGAAAACTCATTTTTTTTAGGTTTATATGGATTTTAAAAGAGTTTTGTTAAGTGAAAATGCATTGTGTCAGAAGAAATGAGCGTTGTAAAGCTTCAAATAAATGAAACTTGTGAATATCTAGATGCTTTAGGCAATCCAGAGCTCAATTTCATCAATCTTTCAACTTGCACACTTGTAACTCGCAAATTTATTCGAAATTCGCAAATTTACAATTAGAACTTGGAAATTTACAATTAGAACTTGCAATTTTTACATTGGAGAGCTTGCTAGTGTTGATTTTATCCCAGAAAAAAACTTGGAAATAATGAAAAGTCGAATCTAGAAAGCTGAAAATCAAAAGAAGATCAAAGACTTGATTAAAGGCTTGATCAAAGGCTTGATCAAAGGCTTGATCAAAGGCTTGATCAAAGGTCGATCAAAGTCTCTCCTCTTTGAATTCCTTCTCATTTTGTTTTAGTTAATTCTTAGTTAATTCAATTTGACTTCAAGTACTTCTTTTAACATATAGCTATGCTTTTTCTTGTCAACTTTACACTCAAACCACTAAAATCCCTTTTGCAGTGACGCTGAAATTTCTCACGACGATTTTCCCCTCACTAAATTGCTTTCGAATTTTTTGAGATCTTGCGAAAAATGACGAGTGCTTTTTAGATTTCATTTATTCAATTTGTACTAATTTTCTTTAAAATTACACACTTTTTACGTTGTTTAGCTTAATTTTAAAGAAAAAGCTGACTTATTTGTGGATTGAAGTGAATTATGGAGAAAAATGAATGAAAAGAAGGTATCGACGTGATGGAATTAATTGAGTCCGGCTGTTGGATGGGAAAAAGAAAAAAAAGAGAGAGCTAAGGATTGGAGAAAGACTTTGATTTATATGATCTACAAACAAAAAAACAAGTTATTCAATCAGAAGACTTAAGTTTATGTAGGAAAACCAGAAAGTTATGAGCTTTGATCAGCCAGTGATCAGCTTTGATCAGCTTTGATCAGCCAATTTGATCACTTCCTCTATAAATCTAGAGTTGTGGAGTTTTTTTGTCCTTTCTTTTCCAAAGTCTGTCAACTTTTTCAGTTGATTAGGGACAGATTTCAAGTTGCCAATTGGAGTTTTTTTTGATCTAGATCTTGTGAGATTTAGCGCTATTTTCCCCGGCCTTATTCTGTCTTTTGGGTGATCACTTGACCAGACCCAGTCACCAGATTGACACATTACGACTCGGATCTATGCATTACATCGTGCGAATCTTGTCCGAGATTTGGGTTTATTTGATGGATGACTCTTTTGGAATATCAAATGAAACAAATCAACAATCTAGTCAACTCTGCAAAGCCAACTCTGCAAAGCCAACTCTGCAAAGCCAACTCTGCAAAGCCAACTTTGCAAGCCAAAGCCTAGATCAAAGCTTTATCCAATAACTTGCCTCGAGTAAGAAAAGCTCGAAGAATTTAGCCAAGCTATAGATAAATCAATGCCCCTAATCCAATCAAAAATCCAGACACACAAAACTTCAAAGCATGGATCCCGTCAAAGCCCCCATAAACCCTAATGTCTTTTTTTCGGCAAAAACTTGTGAACGAGGTTGAGAAGCATCACCATTTCTCTCGATTTCTCATCTTTCCCTGATCTCTTCTCTTTAAATATCTTTCATGAACACTCAACCCAATTGAACACTCCGACAAAAATGCGATGGAATGGGAATGGCGGATGTAAAGGATTTTCAGCAAAACATCAAGCAAAGCAGAAAGCGATGATTGCAAGCGGAGTCGAAGCCCGGACCTCGCGACTCAGAGACAGACCCTCTGTCAATCCACCATGAGGACAGACATACCTGGACGTTTTCCGCGCCTTTTCCTCTCTGTGCTACCTTTTATTGAGGCCTCATATTGTTATTGAAATTGTTATGGTTGAATAAAGTTGTTGTCAAAAGTAAAAACTGTTCCGAAGACTCTAAGCCAAGTCCAGCCAGGCCAGCCAGGCCAGCCAGGTCCAAGCCTGGCTTCTAGCGAGTCTAGGCTTACAATGCCAAGTCAAAGCCAGACATTACCTGACTTCTGGCATAGCTAAAACTTGACTTTTGATCAATCTTGTACAATCGGAAGCTATGCCTTCATTTCTGATTCAGCAAATTGTATAGTTCAGTCTAGAAATCAGCAAAATGTTCTCAATTAGCCTTCTTTTCCGTCTAATTGAATCGAGAGTTTCCAGGAGTAAATGAAAGCGAGTAAATTAGCCAAGTGCTTGCTTTTTGTCTTGAAAGTCCTGGCTTGTAGTGAGTAATTAAACCGAATTGTTCGGCAATAGTCTAACTAGTAAATTCTAGTACTTTAGTTATAGCTATCGTAATCAATTTCTGCTAATCTACACTGATTTTCCTTTATTTAGGCTGAAAGCTGAAAAGGAAAGGAAACTTTTAGAAATAGATCACTAATTATAACAGTACATTAAAGTACATTAAAGTACAATAAACACTAATTCTGCAGCTAGCTTCCCTCTCAATCTCAATGCTAGATTTAAAACTTTAGAGTCGAAACGGTGAATGCAATCAGTGCTCCATTTCTCTTTTCTCCTTTCACACATGCCTATCGGGGTGCCAGATTCGGAGAGAAAATGAACTAAACTCAATTGAATTTCCCTTTTTTGGTCACATCACATTTCCCTGGCTCCACTGGGATTCACTCACAAATGGAAAGCTATAAAAGTTTTTTTATATGGTCTATTTGAAATGAAAGAATTGGAAAACAAGCTTTAACCTAACTTAGAATCCGAAAGCTTTTCAACTACTGTAATCCAAGTACTAGTCAATCATTCAAGTATAAAGTAGTAAAGTTACTTAGGAAAGTTACTTAGGAAAGTTACTTAGGAAGGTTACTTAGGAAGGTTACTTAGGAAGGTTACTTAGGAAAGTTACTTAGGAAGGTTACTTAGGAAGGTTACTTAGGAAAGTTACTTAGGAAAGTTACTTAGGAAGGTTACTTAGGAAAGTGATTTATCCAGTATAAATTAGTAGTTCTTTTGAATGGAAAAGTAAGATGATTTAGGAAACAAGCTGAATCTAATATCTAAGATATTCTGTAAGAAAAAGTTCTTTTTTTCTTGAAAAAGATGGATATCTATCCATCTATAGGAACTAGATGGATATCTATCCATCTAGTTCCTATGACGTAGTGTTTTCGTAGGAATCTCTTCGAAAAATGTGTTGCTATTGATGTCCCATGGCATCTGATGCTCTCTTTCCCCACCAAAGACGACTCAATTGAATTCTCCTTTTTTGCTCGGAATTCAACTAAAGAGGAAAAGTGGTATACCTCTTTAAAAACGATGATCATCAGGGTTCAGAAAGAGGAATTGGGATCCTTTTAGACGCAGAAGAAGGCTTTCCGCCTCGATGCGGGCTGTGCGATGAACCGTAAACTCTCGCAAATATCCCAAATGCGGTTTTAGGAAAATAGTTCGAATGAAAAGTACTCGATTTAACAAGTTATAACAAGTTAAACTATTCAATAACAAGTTAAACTCAACAATCTTTAAACTGGCTTTGAAATTTGCTTTGAAATTTAATGACCAAGCCAAGTCAAGGCTTAGAAGCTTAGAAGTTTAGAACTTGAATTCCAACTCTATCTCTATGGCTTAGAACTTGAATTCCAACTCTATCTCTATGGCTTTAAATTTGATCTTGTTAGAATATAATGTAACATTTCAAATCTTGAGTTATGTTGTTAGAGATTTAAGGTGATAAGACAAATCTTGAATCTTAGTTAACTTTAACTCGAGTCAAGTATTTTTAAACTTTAAAAAACTCATTCATTGGTCAGAAATTTCACTCTTTCCTGGATTCCTATCTTTCCTGGATTTTTTCAGAACATCAGGGTAAAGTAGGGAAAAAATAAAAGTCTCTTGAGCTGGCACAAACCCTCCTCTACTCTACTTCAGCTCTCACTCCTCTACTTTTTCTCTACCCCAAAATTTCCTCCTCATGCCCTGGGGGGTGTTTTTTTCAAACCCCTCCCCTTTCTCCTTGAAAGTGTTTGGGGCCAAGAGAGCACATACGGGATTCCAGAAGAGAATGAATCGATGCGAGTGAAACTAGATGCTCTTCTCTTCTCTCTCTTCTCTCTTTTTCCTCCAAATTCTCCCGCTTCTATGCACAAAAAGTGGCAATCAAAGGCGACCAATACATCGACAAAAAGGATTACGATTTTTTTTTTCCTCAACTAGTGACAATCAGAAACTCGATGAATAGAGAAAGATCTACTAGGAAACTGGTTTTATTTAGAGAACTTTATAGAAACTCAACTTTGTCCGGCAAAACTTAATATAGAGAGATATTTAAATGACTGGATGTCTGTCTGGATGTCTAGAATTGTCTAAAACAGGCCTTTTTCAAGTTCACCATTTATAGCCCCAAATTTCTTACTAGACAAACAGCGACCCGCTGGTGTGGAGGAAAGTGTGCTCGTCTTTCAGACCACTAGTCCCTGGTTCGAATCCCCGCACGGTAAATACTTTTTTGTTTAATTACAAAATATTTATAACTATCAATTATATATTTATAATCATCAAATATATATTTCTAATTATCAATTATATATTTATAATTATCAAAATCCATTTTTAAGAGTTTTAGAGTGTTTTTAAAGATTAATAATCAAAATTCGACCATTAAACCTGAATAGAACAGGTAAGGGGAAGGATGGGTTTGAAATGGAGCCAGAGCTCAAGTTAGAAGTCCAGCACGGGACAGGTCAGAGCAGGATAGCACAGGATCAGGGCAAGAAAGGCCCAGGTCAGCTCAGTACAGGACCAATCATGGCCTAGGTAAACTCATGGGCCAAGATGAGGCCAGTAGGAGGTCAGCCAAGAATTCCTGGGTATATCTATCAAATTTGTACTTGAATCTTTACAATCCTTTGATTCGAATTGTCCCTGGGACATAGATTAACAAAAATATGCATTAAGTGATAAAAATAGCAACTCTCAGATGATTTTTAGATCTAATCCATGACGATGAAGAGATCTTTACATGAATCTTACATGACCTGGGCCTTTCTTGCCCTGGCCTTTCTTGCCTTTCAAGATTCCTAGATCTCCCATAATTTACAAAGGAACGCATGGAGCTTCACATCCAGCTCATCTAATCCGAGACGATGAATCAGCGGTTTTTTTTAAAAAACAATTTAACAACTATGGATTAGATTTAGAATTTGGTTTAGAATTTTTGGACAAATTTGATAGGATTAGTGGCAAATCTTCTCTTTTCAATTCCACAAATAGAATTCTATATAGAAAGCTTTCTTTTTTTTTTGCTTTTATATTTCCAAGTTTGGAAGTGAAATCGTAAAATTTTTTTGTGTGACTTCTTTTGTGAGTATTTCAGTATTTCATCAATTTTTGAGAAGCTTTCCCAGGGCTTTTCTTTAGGGTTTTCGGGGAAATTTCTCTCAATGAAAGGTCAGCTTTTTTTAAAAAAAAGTTGGACTTTTTTAAGAAAGAAAGAAAAATAAGAAAGAAATCGGTTTAATTGAATTGAATTATTTGAATTTATTTCTGTGGGATTTCATCTTGAAATAAAGAAGCAAAAAGAGCTTTTTTTAAAAACTAAAGTAATATATTTAAAGAAAGACTGGAAAAACGCTGGAAGAATTCGGCATGAATTCTCGTCCTTGAATTTATTCCATCAATCCAAGGACACGTGAAGTTCGGGGACGCTATCCCCTACACCACTGGGTCGCTTGCTAGCTAGTGAGAAATTGTGAGTTATAAGCTGGATCTGGATAGAACTTCAAAAAAAGTCGTCATCTTTTTAAATTTAAGACAATTTTGAAGTACTCGAACTTTTCATTTAGGAGTTTGAAATTACTAAATTGAAACTGCAGATTTGAAAGTAGGAAAGCAGTCAGAAAGCAGTCAGAAAGCAGTCAGAAAGCAGTCAGAAAGCAGTCAGAAAGCAGTCAGAAAGCAGTCAGAAAGCAGTCGGAAAGCAGTCGGAAAGCAGTCGGAAAGCAGTCGGAAAGCAGTCGGAAAGCAGTCGGAAAGCAGTCGGAAAGCAGTCGGAAAGCAGTCGGAAAGCAGTCGGAAAGCAGTCGGAAAGCAGTCGGAAAGCAGTCGGAATACCGTATTTTCTCGTAGTGCACCCCGGCGAGCCGAGTTGGTGTGTATTTTACGGTTTCCAAGCTTTTGCAGAAGCTCAACACTCAAATCCTCCACTAGATCTCATCGTCAGCTACATTTTCCGACCCCACATCGATCGGTTCTGATAAGCGGTTCTCGCGATTTCGAGCCATTTAGGCGACGCTTTTCGTGCACTAATATTAGAGAAAATACGGCAATCTACATCTCCCTGTCGAATGACATCTATCCTATAATGATACCTATCCTATAATTATACCTATTATCCCAAAGGGCCTGGGTAACCTGGGAATGTTCCCTTGTGAGATTACTGTTCGATCTAAACGATCATTTTCAAATGGTATGAATGCTAAAGCTAGCAATTCCCACAATTGTATGCATTGCTTTTAGTCATTTGAAAGTTAATGAAATCTTCCCTTTTCCCGCTATTCTTTTTTTGTGAAAGTCTCAAGAAATTGTCTTTGAACAGAATCAAGAAAGGGGTAAGAGATGTAGAAGGGAAAAAGAAGTCTCCTTTCTCTCAATTCCCCATCTAGAAGCTCCTCCATTAGTCTGATTGCTCAAGGTCCATACATCCACAAAATGAAACGAAGAGAAGACATTGAAAAAAGAGAATTTATTGAGTTAAGAAGTTAGGAGTAAGGTAAACAATAGGCTATAAGGAGTTTACTTTTCTTCTTCTACAGGTGAACCGCTAGAAAAGGGTTTTCCTAAATGTAAGTTTGTTTTAGATATTGAAAGGCAAAGAAATCTTACATTGAATGTCTTTGTTGTGCTTTTAAAAAGCCCCAGATTCCTATTTCCAGATCAAGAAATCCCAGATTCGAGATTCCTAGATCTCCCATAATTTACAAAGGAACGCATGGAGCTTCACATCCAGCTCATTCCATGGGACTTCTTCCTCTTCCTCTTCTTCCTCTTCTTTTCTTCTTCCTCTTTTCCTTCTTCCTCTTTTCCTTCTTCCTCTTCTTCTTCTTCTTCTTCTTCTTCTTCCTCTTCTTTTTCTTCCTCTTCTTCTTCCTGTCTCAACTCATTTTACACACCTCATTTCAGCTCCCCTTTTTTTCTCCTTTTCTCGATCGGTCATAGGGATAAGTATAGCAAAAAAAGAAGAAGAAAATGATCACTCTCCTTCAAATACTCACTGACATCCACTCATCTTTTCCTCTCTTTTTAAAACCACAAAATAAATCAGGAAAAGATATTGATCAGTATGAGAGATAAGCTGAAATAGCTGAAATAGAAATAGCTTAAATAGAAATAGCTTAAATCGAATGGCTTAAAATTGCAGCATCACTTGATATCTTAAGAGTTTTAAGTCAATTTGAGATTCTATTTGTTTCTGTACTTTTCCTTTGCCTTTTCTTCGACTTCTTGTGCTCAAAACTTATCGCAAAACTTACCCTTTCTGGCACACTCATTTTTCTCATGTCGACGACTGGTTGAGCAAGAAAACCCAAAGGTTTCAGTGCACCAGGAAATGCGTGTTTCTAGTTTTTAAGCACAAAGCAATGATCAACAATTAGTGTGCCAGGAAAGGTATGTTTTCAAATTTCAACAACACAGGAAAAAAATTCCCTGGTCCTGTACCGAGCTGAGTTGAGCCTGTCTTGCCCTGATCCTGTGCGGTCTTGCTGTCCTGCTCTGACCTGTCCCGTTCTGGACTTCTAAATTGACCCTGTCTGGCTCAACTTTCTAAATCAGGAAAAAATGATTTAGGAAAAAAATCATCTAAAAACAAGCTCGCTTGCAACTGCACTAGAAAATCTATGTTTTCATTAAGCATAAAGTACATTCCTAATACGTAAAGTTTTCTCCGTTGCTTAGCAAAGAATCTTAAAAATTATCCGCGCTTGAATTGTTCAATAAAATTGAAAAATTTCAAAAAAACTTTTGACTTTTGTCGGCGGGGGGATTTCGGAGAGTAAAATGGGAAAAAATGGGAAAAAAGGAAAAGAAAAAGGAGGAAAACTGCTCGATTCCCATTGCTCAAAACAAATATTGCATTTTGGAAAAGAGAGGAAAAAAAGAACACGTTGAATTTATGGAGGATTTATGGAATCGAGAATGGATCGTACACATCATTTGGGTAGGTTTTTTGTGTAAAATTCTCGATTTTTCGAGAATTCTCTTCACAAATAACGATCCGAATTAGTGAAATTAATTAAAAATTAAAGAAATAAGAGTATTAATCAAAAATATTAATCAAAAATCAAAAATCTACAAATCTCTAACTAAAGATGAAAGTTTTCTGATGTGCAAACGATTGAAATTGATTAAATGAGCTTTTTAAAAGATGTATATCAAAAGAAGCGATGATAAATGCAAATAATACAATAAAAATAGATCAATTGAAAAGTTTAATGCAAATTTTCTTCCTTTAAAAGAATGAAATGACTCACTTTGTGATGAAAAGTCGCCACTGTCGCGAGCTTTCCTCGGCCTCGATCTTCTCAATGTCCTCCAGGGTACAACAAAAGTATGAACCCATCTGAAAATGATAGAAAGATTATAGCTTTACAGATTTATTGATTTTTGACTTTTAGGTTCAAGAATCTTTAAAACGAACTAATTTTGATAAGGTTAGCATTTGATGAAACGAGCTTGGGTCAAGAGGTCGATTCTAAGCTAGTCGATTCTAAGCTAGTCGATTCTAAGCCAGTCGATTCTAAGACTAGTCGATTCTAGACTAGTCGATTCTAGACTAGTCGATTCTAGACTAGTCGATTCTAGACTAGTCGATTCTAGACTAGTCGATTCTAGACTAGTCGATTCTAGACTAGTCGATTCTAGACTAGTCGATTCTAGACTAGTCGATTCTAGACTAGTCGATTCTAGACTAGTCGATTCTAGACTAGTCGATGCTAAGCTTTCCTTGGCCTCGATCTTCTCAATGTCCTCCAGGGTACAACAAAAGTATGAACTTCTTGTCCAGCTGTCCAGTCTTCTAGTCCAGCTTAGATATTAGTGCTATTTCAAGAGCTGAACAAGCCAGAAGACAAATCCTTGACTAGCTTCCGACAATGAGGTTAACTGGCTTTGGTTTACGACAAGTCTAGATCATAACAAGTCACAAGACAAGTCCTAGCTTGTAGCTAGAGTTCTGTCAAATGCAAGCTAGGTTTCTGCTCTGAATCTGTTCTTACCTAGCCTTGCCTGGTCTCTAAATTTCTCTCTAGAACAATCCTGTAATGGCTTTGTCTATTTTGTGATTCTAAAATGACTTTGTTAATATCTTTTTTTATATTTTGTCTCTTTTGTTAGGCAAATCTATTAGGCTCTAGGTAAATCTAGGTTAATTTTTCAGTTTTCTTGTAAAAGGACGAAGCTATTAAAATGTTTAGATTAACAGCATTTAATTTTGATATTAACTGAATAGCTTTCAACAAATGAATAGGTAAAGTTGATTGTTTTCTTTGGGATATGACTTAATTCTGGCTATTTTGTCTCTTTTTTTGTTAGTTACTCTAGGTAAATCTAGGTTAATTTTTCAATTTTCTTCTAAAAGAATGAATTTATTAAAATGAAAAATGAAAATGTTTAGATTAACAGCATTTAATTTTGATATTAACTGAATAGCTTTCAATAAATGAATAGCTAATCTTGATTGTTTTTTTCTGGAATATGACTCAATTCTGGCTACAATTCACTCAAAAGAAAAGTGATTTTTACACATTTGCCTTTTTTTACTGAGAAAATATGTTAAAAGAAGGAAATTGTTTCAAAATCGTTTCAAAATTGTTTCAAAATCGTTTCAAACTTCTTTGTATTATAGTTTTAAATATTAGGTTGTCCAATAAGTAATGCGTGTTACTTATTTCGATGTTACTCATCGAAACCAGCTTCATTCTATTATGACGGACTTCACTCTTTGCTCGGACGATGGAGAAATGTTGTTGATTGTTGTGGAGAATATATTGATTAATAAAGTTCTCTTTTGTTAATTTTGTGATATTTTGAAAATCGTGTCAAAACACGCATTACTTATTGGACAACCTAATATAAAATTAATATTTAAACTTGTTTTTGTTGCTTTAAAACGAACCGATACTTTCGACGGACAACAGTACGATTTATTTGCTTCATCTTTAAAATCAGGACAGTGTTTTTCCTGAAAGAAATAGTTAAATTGATATTATTATCAATATTATATGATAAATTGATAAAAATATGATAAATTATATCAAAAAAAACCTTATTTTATTAAAGTCTTACCTTTTGTATTAATTTTAAATGATCCGATTTTGGGCAAACGGTGATTGAGAGGATTTGAAGGGGAAAAATAAAGAGAAATGATAGTGCTCTTGTTGTGGGAAATCGATTTATCAACCAATAATCCATTTTGAATCACTAAAAGAGCTAATTTTGTTATTTAAATAAAAAAAAAACAATGAAAATGCAGAGATTTTTTTGAAGAAAAGACGATTGAAGAAGTTGATAAAGTCCCTACTTTTCTTCAACTTCTTCAGCTTCAACCCCTGTTGAAGCTGATGAAGAAAGGGTTATATGGGCTGAATTTGAGAACACTATCGCTTCGTTTAAAGAGCAGGTTAAAGATTTGAAAGAAAATCCAGTGAATCGAGAACAAATTTGGGTTAAAAAGTGTTTAGAGTTTTGTTTAGAGGTGGAAAAAGGTTTCTATAATTGAAAAAGCTTTCCATAAACCTATAAAACTGAAAAAGCTTTGTATAAAATGAAAATAAAGCTTAGCTTAGCTCAAATTTTGGCTCGAATCGAGAACTTAAATAAAAAGGTATGATAATGAATCGTTATGAAATCAAAAAGTGTTTCGTTTAGTTGTGGAGTTCTGGCAAACGAGTAGCGTGTGAAGAAGTTGATAAAGTAGTATCGCTTCGTTTAAAGATCAGGTTAAAGATTTGAAAGAAAATCCAGTGAATCGAGAACAATTAAAGCTGAAGAAGAAGCGGTTATATGAGCTGAATTGAATTGAGATCGAACAGGCTAAAGATTTGAAAGGAAATCCAGTGAATCGAGAAGAAGTTTGGGTTAAAAAGTGTTTAGGGCTTTGTTTAGAGCTTTGTTTAGAGCTTGAAAAAGGTTTCTATAATTGAGAAAGGTTTCAATAACTGAAAAAGCTTTCCATAAAATGAAAAAGCTTTCCATAAAAGCTTATTTGCTTAGCTTAAAAGCTTTCCATAAAGCATAAAGCTTATTTTCTTAGCTTAAAAGCTTTTCATAAAAGCATAAAGCTTATTTTCTTTATTTAAAAAATGAAAAACTGTATTTGAAGTGGAAAAAGTTGCGAAAAATCGTTTAAAAAACGAGAGAAAGAACGATTTTAGGAAATGAAATAAGAAAAAATGAGGAAAACTTTAATATCTTTCATAAAATATTAAGAAAAAACGAAAAAGAAACAGAAAAAGAAAAAAAGGAAATTTTTGAGGGACAGATCTGAGAGGGGAGAAGGGGAAACATTCTGTGAAGAGGGGAGCAAAAGGTCGGTCGCGAGAGGAAGCCCCGCCCCTTTTCTAACTCATAGACATCACAGAAAAACTAGATAAAGATAGAAAAATGATGTCTTTTCCCTTCTTTTCTTTCTTTCCCCTTCTTCCCCTTCTTCCCTTTCTTTCCATTTCTTCCCTTTCTTTCCCCTTCTTCCCCTTCTTCCCCTTCCCCCCCCCTTTCTTTCTCCTTCTTCCCTTTCTTCCCCTCCCCCCACTTTCTTTCCCCTTCTTCCCCTTCTTTCCCTTCCCCCCTTTCTTTCTCCTTCTTCCATTTCTTTCCCTTTTCTTTTTAAAACCCCACTCTTTTTCCCGTTTTTTTCTTTCTGAAATTTCCATAAATTGATCCCCCTTCTGTTTTTGTTTGTCCATGCTTTTTTTAGACGATTTTTAATGAAAACTTCTCAATTTAAACTTTAATTTGCTAGAAAATAAATACTTTAATTCTTTCCAAAAGAGTTAAACAAACTTAAAACTATCATTTGAACTTATCATTTGAAAATTTAAAAGTCAAAAAGTGAACTTGAAAAAGGAAACTATTAAAAAGCTATTGAAAATTGATTAAAAATCAATTGAAAAGCTATTAAAAACCTTGAAAATCTATTAAAAACCTTGAAAATCTATTGAAAACCTTGAAAATCTATTAAAAAACTTGAAAATCGATTAAAAACCTTGAAAATCTATTGAAAATCGATTAAAAACCTTGAAAATCGATTAAAAATCTTGAAAATCTTTTATTCCAATAGCTCAAAAGTTACAAAATTTCCCGCTTTTAGTTCTAGATTTGAAATTTTTATAAATTGAACTTTTTAAAACCTAAAATCAATTATAAAATAATACTACTTTTTCAAAATGTTCATCTTTCAAATTCACATTGAAAATTCTATTTGATTTTCAAGTGAGAGAACATTTTAACAGAAAACATTGAGAAAACAGTGAGAAAATATTGAGAAAACAGTGAGAAACATTGAGAAACATTAAATCTTAGCACCTAACATTAAGGAAATTATACTGAAATACATTACCGATCGATTTCTATTTATTTAAAGGGGGGTATTAATCGCGGCCGGGTGACGATAAAAATTTTTTTACGGCAACCACCTGTTTTTTTGTTTTAATATCGCTGATTTTATTATAAAAAGAATAAAAATCACCCGGCTAGAGTGATTTGATGGGTTTACAAATTTTTGGAGACACTGCAAGGCTTGGAGAAAAACAAGATCGTCACTCATCAGACACCTCAGCTAAAAGAAAGCTAAAAGGCACCTATTTGAGAAAACTAAAACCATAAGCGACCACAAAAAGATCTAATTGTGTCAATCAAAGCGCTGAAGACGTCCTACGATGGAGGAGATCCAGTCACTTTTGGTGAAGATGCGCTGGAAATTGATAAGATAGGAAGCCGATTTGTACTGCTGTACTTGAGCCGAACTGCTGTACTTGAGCGAAGATGAAAGTGAGCAAGAGGAAGAATTATAGATTAACAATTTATTTTTATTACTTTTTGTGCTTTTTATTTTGTTTTTAAATTTATCTGCAACTAAAACTCAATCGATCTAGACTGTGCTGAGGTGTCTGATGAGTGTCTGATGATCTTGTTTTTCTCCAAGCCTTGCAGTGTCTCCAAAAATTTGTAAACCCATCAAATCACTCTAGCCGGGTGATTTTTATTCTTTTTATAATAAAATCAGCGATATTAAAACAAAAAAACAGGTGGTTGCCGTAAAAAAATTTTTATCGTCACCCGGCCGCGATTAATACCCCCCCCCCCCTTTAAATAAAAATCTCAGCACAACTAGTTAAAAAATTCGATTTGATCAAGCCAAAACAAGCTTATACCGAAAATTTACTGTAGTTTTGTTTCTTTGCAAAATCTCTTTTTCAAAACTTTCATTAAAATCGAAATGATTTGCCATTGGAGATTCTAGAGGTCGATTCTAGACTAGTCTTCTTGTCCAGCTTAGATATTAGTGTTATTTCAAGAGCTGATCAAGCCAGAAGGCAAACCCTTGACTAGCTTCTGACAATGTGTTTGACTGGCTTTGGTTTCCGACAAGTTTAGATTATAACAAGTCACAAGACAAGTCCTAGCTTGTAGCTAGAGTTCTGTCAAATCCAAGCTAGACGAAAAAGCTCTTTTTCAAAACTTTCATTAAAATCGAAATGATTTTCTTTTGTTTTCCGTTTTTCTAGAAAGCAATGACATAAAAAGAAAGGCCAGCTGCAAATTTCCATTGTGAAACTATCAGTGTCTAAAGATATTCAATTATTATTCTATTCGACACGATATTCGACACGAATTCTTCCCCCCTTCTTCCCCTTCTTCCCCTTCTTCCCCTTCTTCCCCTTCTTCCCCTTCTTCCCCTTCTTCCCCTTCTTCCCCTTCTTCCCCTCTATTCATTTTCATTTCAATTTTCAAACATTTCTCATTTAGTAAAAGGTTTATTTCTAAATAAAATCGAAATGCAAAGTATCACATTGAACTCGGAAATTGAGAGTTTTAAGCAAAAAAAACTTTGATTTAAAACAAAAAATTCAAATAAATATTCTTTGGTCAAATTAAAAGGGATATCTCGAGACGTAGACTTGAATCAAAGCATGGTTTAGATTGAGAAGGACACCGGTTCGAGAACGAGTCAGAATATCGACACGAACGTTCTCCATCAATGGACCCTTCAATGGGGCTTTAATCTTCACGATGCCTAAATGGGATTCACTTAGAACCAGCGTTTACAAGTCCTTCACCGTATTCTTCACTTTGCACCAGTTTGGACAAGATCAATATCCAGCTACTGGCCTGCCCAGTAATGACCTGGCTTTGTGAACCAGAAGCTAGATTCTAGTAGCTCATTCGGTCAGTGTAGCTCATTGATTGAGTGTTCGCCTGGTGAGCAAGAGGTCGCGGGTTCGAATCCCGGCGCCGACTCGAAAAGGACCGCCTCAGTTGGCCTAGCTAAGCCTAGCTTTACTACAAGCAAGTCCCACAAAGCTCGTGGGCCAGTACAGGTTAGTTTAGAAGCTAGATATTGGCCTTGGCTAACCTGGCAAGCCAAGCTTATTGCCTGCCTGTCTAGACTCGCTGCCTAGAAACCAGGACTGAACAGCCAAGACTGAACAGCCAGGACTGGCTTCTAATCTAGCTGAAGCCTGGTTTGTTATCTGGCAACAATACTGATTGGGTTTACTTTTGCTCTGAATGCAAACAAACAATTTCTGGTACTGAATTCAGAATTTCTGGATTGATCTGTTTTTCTGAGAAAGAATTGGAACCAAAAAAGATTACGCCAGTGTTTAAAAACGCTTGCGAATGGAATTACCATTTACTATGGAATTACGATTTTCGCTTTATGCAAGTCTGGTATCAAAATGTAGCTCTTCAATTGGGCTACATGATAGCATAAAAAACTTTGACAAAAGCTATTGTTTAGTACAAGAAAAATGGCCGCAAAGTGAGAGCATTGACTGGACATTACAAAATCACAATGCTCTCACTTTGCGATCATTTTTCTTGTACTAAGCAAGAGTTTTTTAGAAGTTTTTATACCATCTGAATGTAGCCCAATTGAAGAGCTACATTTTGATCAGAAACTCGCAAAAAAAATCGCAATTCCATTCGCAATTTTCATGGTCTTGAAGAATCGAGTGCACTAGAAAGGATGCGTTTGCAATTGTGTAGAAACAAAGTACAATTATATTGATTATATTGATAGCAGGCTTTCATCTATCAATTTATTACCAATATTCCTCTCTTGTTGCACCATAAAATGTCGTGCATTAGCCGGATCAACGCGATACTCAACACTGAATGGAACACCGAGTTGAGCTCGTATCCGAGAGATCTGAAATCTTTGATAAAGAATACTTATTCATACGAATAATGTAGTAGAAACATGTACAATGTACAAAGCTATGTACAATGTACAAAACTATGTACAATGTACAAAGACATGTACAATGTACAAAGCCATATACAATGTACAAAGCCATGTACAGTGTACAAAGACATGTACAATACCAAAGTACAACCCTTAGCCCTCAATCCCTAAGCCCTAGGCAAGAAAGAAAGCCATTATGGGAAAAAGAAAGAAAGAAAGAAACAATAATCTAGCCAGGATTGAACCCTTTACCTCTTGCCTAAGATACAAGGCTTTTAGCCAATCGGCCATAATGCATTTTATCTACCAAAGTATTCCTTTCACTTACTTCAATCGGCTCTTGAAGATGTCGAAAGGAGGGAATCGATCTGAACTGGAAAAGGACTTCTTTTGTGTGATTTGAGAGACATCCCGCATCATCGTCTCGACAAGCTTTCAAACAAGACCAACCATCTTCCACATGACTAAATTCTTTGGATATTTTGAGCTTTAATTTAAATATCTTAAGCCATTTCATTTCTGGGTAGCTGATAAAAACAGATTACTAATCTGTAAAAACCTTTGTTTCAAATGAATAAGATTAGGGTAAGTAAAGCCAGGAGTTTAAAGCATTGCTTGACCCAAAAGTTGCAGTTACTGGTAGACAAAACCTACAGTAAAGCTACAGTAAAGCTTACAAGGGAAGATCAACTGGCTGAGCCGGTCAAATGACATGCAATCTTTACCAATCGACACAGAATTTCACGCTGATTCCGAATCTGGCGTCTGTTTTTACTGAACGTTATTCTGGCAGGCGTTATAAGCGTCTAAAGTTCTGTTACTGGCGTTCTTTGTGTGCTCGGAAATGGACCAGTTGTTCAGGAGGTTGTTAGAGCTCTGAAAATATGGGTTTTTTGGTGTTAGGCGTCTCGCGGCCTCGTTTCTAATAGGCTGTGGTCGAGCCGTAAAGCGTCTGTGTTCGAGGCTAAAGATCTCTGGTTCGAGTCCCGTATCATTTTTTTGGCTTTTTTAAAGATGTAAAAACTTGCGTTCTTGCTTCATAGCTTAATCAAACAAACCTCCTGAACAACTGGTCCATTTCTGAGCACACAAAGAACGCAAGCAACAAAACTTTAGACGCTTATAACTCCTACTGCTTATAACGCTTATAACGCTGAGAACGCTTATAACGCTGAGAACGCTTATAACGCTGAGTACGCTTAGAACGCTGAGAACGCTTAGAACGCTGAGAACGCTTAGAACGCTGAGAACGCTTAGAACGCTGAGAACGCTTAGAACGCTGAGAACGCTTAGAACGCTGAGAACGCTTAGAACGCTGAGAACGCTTAGAACGCTGAGAACGCTTAGAACGCTGAGAACGCTTAGAACGCTGAGAACGCTTAGAACGCTGGAGAACGCTTAGAACGCTGAGAACGCTTAGAACGCTGAGAACGCTTAGAACGCTGAGAACGCTTAGAACGCTGAGAACGCTTAGAACGCTGAGAACGCTTAGAACGCTGAGAACGCTTAGAACGCTTAGAACGCTTATAATGCTCTACGGCTCGACCACGGTCTATTAGAAACGAGGCCGCGCAAAAGGCGCCTAACACCAAAAAAACCCATATTTTCAGAGCTCTAACAACCTCATGAACAACTGGTCCATTTCCGAGCACACAAAGAACACAAGTAACAGAACTTTAGACGCTTATAACTCATGCCAGAATAACGTTCAGTAAAAACGGAAACTATGAGCAAGATTTCACAAGAAAGCAAAAAGAAAACGATACGGGGATACTCGAATCAGGGATCTTTGGCTTCGAACACAGACGCTCTACCGCTCGACCACAGCTTATTAGAAACGAGGCCGTGCAGAAGGCGCGTAACACCATATAAATATCCCAAAACCCATATTTTCAGAGCTCTAACAAAACTTTAGACGCTTAGAACTCCTACCAGAATAACGTTCAGTAAAAACGGAAACCACAATCGGAATCAGCGTGAAATTCTGTGTCGAATGGTGGTACAATTGGGCATGTCATTTGACCGGCTCAGCCAGTTGACCTCCCCTTGTACTATAGTAGACAAAATCAGGCCTAGCTACGGTATTCCTAATCTTTCTAAGGCTTTAAATGAGGGTTTTTCTGAGTTCTCAATTCATTTCAATATTATTAAGCTATTCTGAGGTTAACATTTTTACCATGGCAATTTTTGTTTTTTTGTCTTTTTACTTCTTCAACTTGAAATAATACCTTTTCAAAAGCTGATAACATTTTTGAAAGCTACTTTGAAAGCTAAAATCTTATCTTCATTCAATTTATTAACTTTAAAATCTTTCTAGAGTTATTTCTAAGTAAATTTAAGGAAAAATCGTTTAAATAAAAAGAGTACTGTAGTTTAGAAAACGAATTTTGAAAAAAAGAGTTATTGTTGTTGTTATTATTGTTGTTGTTATTGTTATTGTTATTGTTGTTGTTGTTATTGTTATTGTTGTTGTTGTTGTTGTTGTTGTTGTTGTTGTTGTTGTTATTGTTGTTGTTGTTGTTGTTGAATTGTTGTTGTTGTTGTTGTTGTTATTGTTATTGTTGTTGTTGTTGTTGTTGTTGTTGTTGTTGTTATTGTTATTGTTGTTATTGTTATTGTTGTTGTTGTTGTTATTGTTATTGTTGTTGTTGTTGAATTGTTGTTGTTGTTGAATTGTTGTTGTTGTTGTTGTTGTTGAATTGTTGAATTGTTAAAGAAATAAAGAATAGTTAAAGTTTAAGAAAAATAATTGATAACAATGGGATTTTTAACATAAAAGATAAAGAACAATTATGCAAATCATTAGAAAAACAAAGAAAATCAAAGAAAACACTTCAAAATCTTTTGTGAATTGAGTGAAAGAAATGATTCTTTCTCTTTTCGTGTGGACTGATGTGAATAACGAGATTCGCTAGATATTTCCCAGCGAAATGTCCATTTCGTGTTAGGCGAAGGATCAGCTCCAATTCGATAAGCTGTGGACCATCAAGACTGAAGGCAAACAAATAATTCTATTAGTAAAGAGTAGAATTAGTACTTTATTAGTAGAATTAAGATGCAAAAATGGTTTATTAGTACAATTAGAATATGCTTTGTTAGTACAATTAGTATACGCTTTGTTAGTACAGTTGTATATGCTTTATTAGTACAATTAGTATATGCTTTGTTAGTACAATTAGTATATGCTTTATTAGTACAATTAGAATATGCTTTGTTAGTACAATTAGTATATGCTTTATTAGTACAATTGTATATGCTTTGTTAGTACAATTAGAATATGCTTTATTAGTACTTTATTACTTTATTAGTACAATTAGTATGTACTTTATTAGTACAATTAGTATATGATTTGTTAGTACAATTAGAATATGCTTTATTAGTACAATCATTATATACTTTATTAGTACAATTAGTATATACTTTGTTAGTACAATTGTATATACTTTGTTAGTACAATTAGTATATGCTTTATTAGTACAATTAGTATATACTTTATTAGTACAATTAGTATATACTTTATTAGTACAAAACTTTATTTTCTACCTATCTCTCATAGCCACAACAGCTGTGTTCGGCTCGTTTCCCTTTTGCAGTAAAAAGTTCGCGCGAATCGCTGGAATGACGCCCATTTCTTCTAAAATCGAAAAAAATGATTAGTAGCATGCAGAAATGAGATAATTACTTTCTTCTCTTTCTTCCTTTCTTTCTTCCTTCCTTTCTTTCTTCCTTTCTCTTCCTTATCTTTCCTATTTCTTGGGCAAAGAAGGCAATAGCTCAGTGCTACCAGCTCTACAGCTCTGCCTGGTAAGCAGAAGATCGGGTTCAATTCCCCCATTGGTTTTTTTTCTTTCTCATTCATTTCTTTACATAGTAACTAGTAGTTTTTGGTTTGTAAAAACGATAATTGGGAAAATACGGCCTCAAAAATCAGCGTCAAAGAAAGAATGGTAGAATCAAAACCGAACAGCTACATTATAGGCTTGGAAACTGAACAATGACTGGAGTAAACGGTGACTTGGCTGCCGTAACCTTTTAGTAGATATAAAGTGATCAAAATAGTTGATAAAGTAATTGTAAAGATTACTGTAAGACAGTAAGATTACTGTAAGATTTGCGTAGGCGTGACTCGCCTATCGTAACCGTAATCGCAAGGATTACTGTAACAGCTTTAACTCAGAGATGTTTATAAAAATCAGAACGAATCTAGGTCAAGCTACGGTAGCTAGGGCAGGCTTTAGATCTACAAGAATCTAAAGCATCTTTAGAGCTACAAGAATCTAAAGCCTCTTTAGATCTACAAGGATCTAAAGGACCTAAAGCATCTTTAGATCTATAAGGATCTAAAGGATTTAAAGCAGCTTTGAATCTACAAGGATTTAAAGCAACTTTGGATCTACAAGGATCCAAAGCATCTTTGGATCTACAAGGATCTAAAGGATCTAAAGCATCTTTAGATCTACGAGGATCTAAAGGATTTAAAGTAACTTTGGATCTATAAGGATCAAAAGGATCTTTAGATCTATAAGGATCTAAAAGATCGAAAGCATCTAAAGCATCTAAAGCCTCTTTAGATCCATAAGGATCTAAGGGATCTAAAGCATCTTTAGATCTACAAAGCATCTACAAAAGTCAGCGTCGAAAAAGGTCGCAATTCGATAGAGATTACTGTACTTATAAGAAAAATTATTTATTGGATTTATTGGATTTATAAATCATAATATGTTAGCTTTTTATTTAAAAAGTACCCGGACTGGCTCTTTTCATGACCAACTCAAATTGGACATGACTCTCTGCGGTGGCTGGTCCCTTTATTGTAAATAAAGTCACTGATGGACGATGCAATGTTAGTGGAACATTCTTTGGCAAACCGATAAACTAAAAAGCATTTCAATTTTCTTACTAGAAAAAAGCCAGAAAAACCTGCCAAGTGATATGAACTGGATGTGTTTGTTTGCATTGAGAATCGGTTAGTGAAATGCATGCTTCACGGCGACGATTGCAACGACGAAAAAATGGAGATTAGGTTAGTAAATTGGTTAGTAATTGATAGGAAATTGGTAGGAAATTGGTTAGTAAATTGGTTAGTAAATAGGTTAGTAAGTTGGTTAGTAATTGGTTAGTAATTGGTTAGTAATTGGTTAGTAACTGGTTAGTAACTAGGTTAGTAACTAGGTTAGTAACTAGGTTAGTAAATAGGTTAGTAATTAGGTCAGTAACTAGGTTAGTAACTAGGTTAGTAACTAGGTTAGTAATTGGTTAGTAACTAGGTTAGTAATTGGTTAGTAACTAGGTTAGTAACTAGGTTAGTAATTGGTTAGTAACTAGGTTAGTAACTAGGTTAGTAATTGGTTAGTAACTAGGTTAGTAATTGGTTAGTAACTAGGTTAGTAACTAGGTTAGTAATTGGTTAGTAACTAGGTTAGTAACTAGGTTAGTAACTAGGTTAGTAAAGTTTAAAGATAAAAGCCTTACTTGACTGCCTTATTTTAGTGATAAGTATTGGACTTTAACTTACTAGTAAAGCTAGTAAAGCTACTTACTAGTAAGCTCCAGCGAGTACCGGATCAGAAAAATCAACTCACCTCTTGTACTTTAGTTCTAAGAACTTTAAAATCTTGTAAATTTTAAAGCTTTCTCCCCCTTATCAATTAAAACCATCTATTCAAACAAACTTTTTATAGTTACTGTCGTGGACATAATTTGAAGGACACTCGATTCGATGACACTTGAAGTGGCCCAAAGTGTTTACGCAAACTCGATCCGAACCCTGACACTCGCCCTGAGCACATTCATCGATGTCTAAAAGGGAATTTGTCAAATTTTTGACTAATCAACGAAATGCTACACAGTTACAATCATTTTCAGATAATCTAAGCGTCTTTTAGATGGGTTTTTGCTTTAAGATTTTAAATTTGAGTTTAAATCTATGGGTATTCCATGTCACGGAACTGTAGTAGCTGGGGGTACGCTGGGAGTACTGTAGAAGCTTGGAGTACTGTAGTAGCTGGGGAAACTGTAGTAGCTCGGGGTATTACAGTAGCTGGAGGTACTGTAGTGGTTGGGAGAACGCTGGGAGTACTGTAGAGACTTGGAGTACTGTAGTAGCTAGGGGTACTACATTAGCTGGAGGTACTCTGGGAGTACGACTAGTTGCTAGGCTCTCAAACTAGTCACTAGTTTGAGAGCCTAACGCACCTGCCACTTGACACTTGCCATATTCTTGGTGGTACCAATTTTCAGCTTCTTAGAACTTTTGAAACACCCAGAGACCAAGCTAAAACCGGCCAGACCAAGCTTAAAAACAGCTTTGTCGCAAATGTGTAGCCTATTGGATCGAAATATTGTAAGAACTTTGACAAAGAAGTATGATCGAAGCCGGGCTACTGTAGCATTTTATTCTCAAGGTACTGTAGTCGTATTGTAATGTAGTGTAATGGGAGGTTAAAGTCAACTCAAGAAACATTAAAATACGAACCAACACACGTGCGTCCATCGGGTTGAATCCGGTACCCGGGCGGGCATTTGCATGTGTATGCGCCGGGGGTATTGATGCACTCACCCATGCACAACTCGTTGCCTAGATCTGAAAAGTTTGGCGTAAAAGGACTTTATTTTCTAAGCTTTTGAAAGCTTTATTGATCTAGCTATTCTATTATATAGCTACTTTCTATAGCTACTTTCTATAGCTTTATTGATCTAGCTATTCTATTCTACAGCTACTTTCTATGGCTACTTTCTATAGCTTTATTGATCTAGCTATTCTATTCTACAGCTACTTTCTATAGCTACTTTCTATAGCTTTATTGATCTAGCTATTCTATTCTACAGCTACTTTCTATGGCTACTTTCTATAGCTACTTTCTATAGCTCTATTGATATAGCTAGTTTCTATCTTTATTGATCTAGCTATTCTATTCTATAACTACTTTCTATAGTTTTATTGTCACCTACCCGTTCCCGACCATAACGAGCACTCATCAATGTCTTCACAAGTCACCCCATCGGGTCCCAACGCGTACCTGAAAAGGAAATAATTTTGAAAGTTTAGTTTAACGTTCTTCACGACTCTGACCTAGCTTCCAACCTTTACTAGCCAAAGAAATCTGTTGTTGAATGATAATGAATGATAATGATAATGAAATACCCTCGATCACAGATACACTGATAGCTTCCAGGAATGTTCACGCATTTCTGGGCACATCTTGCGATATTCCTTGAGCACTCGTCAATATCTAAAGTAAATCGAGTTTATTCTATTCTAAATTCAGATTTTTGTTCTTCAAACTATCACTCACCAACACACTTTCGCCCATCCAACGCCAATTCGAAACCGGTTTTACATGTGCACAGAAAAGAGCCGATTGTGTTCGAGCAAGTGGCCAAAACATCGCAAACGTGGCCAGAGAATCGAATGCATTCATCAATATCTTCACATCGCTTTGTCTATCAAATACTTTTTCAATTGTATAGTTTTTTTAGAGATTAGATATTATACAGGGTGCGTCAAAAGTTCCCGTGCTTGTATTTTCTGCACCTTTGGTCACTTTAGATAAAATATACGATTTTAAAAGTAAGAAATTCGAATTCCTCGCGAAAAACTGATTTAGAAATCGTTTCTGGTTAATTTATAAGTGCAACACTATTTAAGAGAAGTGATTGAGAAGAGGGTCCGCTCAGGGGCGCTTTGGTCTTGGTTAGAACTTGGTTTTCCCATAATTTCCATCAAATGAAATAACTGTAGCTGTGCCCTTTAACTGTGCCCTTTAACTGTGCCCGCGCCCCTGAGCGACCAAAGCGCCCCTGAGCGACCAAAGCGCCCCTGAGCGACCAAAGCGCCCCTGAGCGACCAAAGCGCCCCTGAGCGACCAAAGCGCCCCTGAGCGACCAAAGCGCCCCTGAGCGACCAAAGCGCCCCTGAGCGACCAAAGCGCCCCTGAGCGACCAAAGCGCCCCTGAGCGACCAAAGCGCCCCTGAGCGACCAAAGCGCCCCTGAGCGACCAAAGCGCCCCTGAGCGACCAAAGCGCCCCTGAGCGACCAAAGCGCCCCTGAGCGACCAAAGCGCCCCTGAGCGACCAAAGCGCCCCTGAGCGACCAAAGCGCCCCTGAGCGACCAAAGCGCCCCTGAGCGACCAAAGCGCCCTTATAAATTAACCAGAAATGTTTTCTAAATCAGTTTTTCGCGAGGAATTCGAATTTCTTACTTTTCAAATCGTATCTTTTATCTAAAATTACCAAAAATGCAGAAAATACAAGTACGGGAACTTTTGACGCACTCTGTAGATTAGACTTAAGCCAAAAGTTTTAGGTTTTTAAGATTGAGGTTCAGCTATTGAGGATTCTTATCTTTGAGGATTCTTATCTTTGAGGATACTGACCTTCTCATCGAACTCATATCCCTGTGGACATTTGCATCTGAATGAGCCGGGAAGATTTGTACATTCCATTCCACCACAAGAATTTGGTGATAAACACTCATCAACATCTGAAATTTTGATTTCATTTTTCTCAATCGTTCATTTACCTTCACAAAATCCTGAATTTGGATTCACTTGATAGCCAAAAGTGCACGGATTTCCGCGTTGTTGACATCTGAAATCATTTCGAAAATAAGCTGATCGACTGTTATTTAGTAAGCTGTTATTTAAGCTCTTATTTAGTAAGCTGTTATTTAAGCTCTTATTTAGTAAGCTGTTATTTAAACTGTTATTCAGTAAGCTGTCATTTAAGCTGTTATTTAGTAAGCTATTATTTAAGCTGTTATTTAAGCTGTTATTTAAACTGTTATTTAGTAAGCTTTATTACTAAAGAATCTTTAAGTCAAATCTCCCATCTCTTGTTTTTAAATGCACTTTTTTTCAAGCTCATGCATTCACAGCTTAATAAGCTCGCACTTTCAAAACTTTAGATTAGATAGTTCAAGTACACTGGAAAGCTTGCCTAGAGAGCTTTTAATTCTTTAACCGCAAAGTACACATTGTCAAATAAATCTATGAGTTTTGTAGCTAAAAGATCAAGCCCAAAAGATCCTTCTAAAGCCACCTGTAAGCACCGGGAGTATTCACGCAGTCCTCGTTCGCTAGACAAGGATTTCCCTTCACACATTCATCGATATCTTTAAAAGTAAAAATGAAAATGATATAAGAATTTCAAACTCACCATTGCATCGTCCTTCTTTTGGATAATATCCAGTTGGGCAATGAATCGATGTACACTCGCCGGTCACCGGATTTTGCAACTCACCATCTGCACATTTCTTCGCAACACATCGATAACTACCTGTAATAAGATAATAAGATAATCAATTTCCTCTTGAGCAAGAAATTTTAATGTTTAGACTAAAATGAAGTTGTGCTTTTTAAAAAGTGCATCTAGAAAGCGCTATCGTACACCGAAGATTGTGAAACATTTGATACGCGCCCCTTTCGCAGTCGCAATCCAACTTTGAGCTTAAATTTCTTGGTGTTGGGCTGTCCAATTGAAACAGTTTTTGTATCAATCGATAGAGAAAGACTTGGCGCATTGAACGATATCAAGAATAATGAAATTGAATAGTCTAAAACCAAGAGATTGGGAAAAGGGGCGGGGCTATGGACCTTTTATACACGCCCCGGTCCTGTGCCATTGGCTATCCAACTTTGAGCTTAAATTTCTTGGTGTTGGGCTGTCCAATTGAAACAGTTTTTGTATCAATCGATAGAGAAAGACTTGGCGCATTGAACGATATCAAGAATAATGAAATTGAATAGCCTAAAACCAAGAGATTTGAGCTCAAAGTTGGATTGGGAATGGCAAAGGGACGGGGCATCAATAAATGTAAATAAATCATTAATAAATCATAAATCAAGCATCATCAATAAAGATCAATGTCCGATAACCTGTGAATGGTTTTTAACGTTTAAACTAGAATTTCTTATAGTCAGTGATCTTTACCTATACAAGACTTCATGGACTACAAGACAAGCTAACTGCTTAAGGCTGACAATTTAAATGAAACTAGTTGGAGTTATTGCTAAGTTATTGCTAAGACTGGCTTATTGTAGCTTTTTTTTGATTACTATCGTAGCTTTTAAGCTACATTAGCTCTTAAGCTTACTTTTTAGCAAAAAGAAAATCTAAAAAAGAATATTCTACAATACCTTGCGTATTTCTGCATTGATACAATGAGCCACAATCGTGCGATCCCAAATTGCACTCATCCACATCTGAAAATGACAATTTTTACTAGAAGAATCGTTAAAGAATCGATTAAAAGCATTTCGTTAATAAGAAAACACACAACAAAAACTTTAGCATTCAATAAGATTAGTCAACTCTTTGCAATCGAATTCAATCTGTTACTAGAACGAACGATAACGATTGATCTACCCGTGCACTGTTCCGTTTCCGAGTCCATCACGTAGCCGGTTCCACAAGAAAGCGTTCGAATACATTTATATGATCCAGGAACATTTAAACATCGCTGTCCTTCCAAACATCCATCCAACAAAAGAATACACTCGTCGATATCTGAGCATGCGAGTTAGAAACTACAGTGTTTTCCTCGCGAGTAAGTACCGTAAATACTGTAATAGTACCCCACGCCTATAGCGAAGTGTTGCGTAGTCTAGCTTTGAACGAGTTTTTCTCGACACTGGTTTAAGCTACAATGCGCGCTTAGGTATCAAAAAATAGCTGAAATTCAGGGCTATTTTTTGATACTAAAGACGCTTTTTTTGGAAGTACCAGCGCTTTGAAAAAAATGAGATACTAAAAAACTTACGACTTACGACTGCGACTACGCGACTGTACGAGGGGGGTCGGGTACTATTACAGTATTTACGCTAAGTGGGCAACACGTGGCAACCTTCAATCTGCTGCTTATTAGACAATTTAAGGACTTGAATCAACTCTAGAAGAAGCAACTCTAGAAGAATCAACTCTAGAAGAATCAACTCTAGAAGAAGCAACTCTAGAAGAAGCAACTCTAGAAGAAGCAACTCTAGAAGAATCAACTCTAGAAGAAGCAACTCTAGAAGAAGCAACTCTAGAAGAAGCAACTCTAGAAGAAGCAACTCTAGAAGAATCAACTCTAGAAGAATCAACTCTAGAAGAATCAACTCTAGAAGAAGCAACTCTAGAAGAAGCAACTCTAGAAGAAGCAACTCTAGAAGAAGCAACTCTAGAAGAATCAACTCAACAAACCATCATCCCAGAAGACATCGTTTATAAGTCGTTGCTCGTGATTTTTTAATTTGCATTAATTTTTCGCTAAAAGTACGGTAAATTTTTCCTAAGCTTGTGTTTTAAAAAAACGAATTACTCATGAGGAACACATTCTATTAACACGTTGACGACATTGTGACCTGATGCTGTCTGAGACATATTCGTTCGCCTGGGACATTGTCACCTGATGTCAGGTGACATTTTTTGTCGAAAAAAACAACGTTGTCCCATGCGATTGTTTGTGCAAAAACGCCATTGTCGTCAACGTGTTAAAAACACTAATCTAATTCTAGTTTTTAGACAGTTTTTAGACAGTTTTTAGACAAAACCTATCAAAAACGGAAAAACTCTCTAGCTTACTGAACTAATTGAAACATATTTAGTTACCAAACATATCCAAAATGTTAACGAATTTATGGCAAAAATAGCTGAATCGCTAAACAATTGAATCTTTTTTTGAGATACCTAAGTTGTTGGAAGTTAATGAAGCAACAGATTATTTTATAATTATCTGATTATCTTATAATTGTCTATAGATTCAAATAGTTGGAGAATCTAATAAGTTTAAGAAAGAAAATCCCTAAGCTTTCATTGAGTGACAATAACAAAAGCACAAAGAAACACAGCAAAGGAGAAAACCCTCAGTTCTCACCAAAACATAGTTGCTGCCTCAATTCGTATCCTTTCGGACATCTTCCCTTTGGTCCTGGTCTCAGCGAATGTCCTTGTTGATCCACTTGAGTCCTTGCTCCCTTTGCTTGCAATGGTTGCGGTGGTGCATAGGTGAGCGGTTGTTGTTGACGCTTCTCGTTCTCGGTTCTCGGTTCGGTTCTCGGTTCGGTTCTCGATCTATCCGGTGGTTGAACGAGTTTACTGGATCGTGCAGATGTCGTTCGATTTGCATTCTTATGCCGATTTGCTGTGCGAAACGGTCGACAAATGAACGATCCTTTTGTGTTGATGCAAATCGTTTGTGCGCGACAAGGAAACGCTTTGCGTGAACATTCATCAATGTCTAAAGAAAAGCCAAGACTTTCATAACAACATAGCTAGCATAGCTGAGAAACTAGCTGAGAAACTAGCTGAGAAACTAGCTGAGAAACTAGCTGAGAAACTAGCTGAGAAACTAGCTGAGAAACTAACTGAGAAACTAGCTGAGAAACTAGCTGAGAAACTAGCTGAGAAACTAGCTGAAGAGTTAACTAGTTAAATCTAAGTGCTGAATACAGGATCTAGACGTTTTACGCCCAATTACAGCCTTACAGCAATTACAGAATTCAGTATAAACCTATTACTGATTAGAGCTTTACCTATTGCTAGACTTTCTGTTTCTTTTACTTGTTGCTTACTTATGTTGTTACCAAAACCTTGAAAAGCCTAGAAAGAGTGAAAGCGAATAGGAATAGTTGAAAGCAAAAGCCAAGGACTACAGTTTTGTCAAACTCACCGATACACGATGTCCCATCAGCTCCCAAATCAAATCCATCACGACAGGAACACTCCACATTCTCACCACCACTAGAAATTCCATCTTTATTGATTGCATTGCCTTAAAAAGAAATATTAATAGCAAACCTGTCAGTGCAAAGATGATCACACGGATTGCTCAGACATCGATCACCAATTCTTAACAAGGAGCCATCTTCTGAATAGTTAGATAAAGGAATGTTTTATTCTAATAGAAAGGCCTTTTAGCTAAGAAAAAGCAAAGCTTTTAACGATCGAATTCTCTGGAATCTGTAAGCAAATATTCCAAAAGCTAAAAGAAAAGGAGTAAAGGACCAAATAAAGGACCAAGTAAAGGACCAAGTAAAGGACCAAATAAAGGACCAAGTAAAGGACAAATAAAGGACCAAGTAAAGGACCAAGTAAAGGACCAAGAAACTGTTTCTAGGAAAAGTCCTAGTGAGACTTGAGACTTAAGACTTGAGTCAAAGTCAAGACTTGAGTCAGCCTGCTCTGGTAATTTGTTTAGCATGAGTCTTAAGATAGCTTTGGCTTTAGTTCATCTAAACTAGCTACTGACAAGGGATTGTTTAAAGTAAAGTAATTTTTAGTTTAAACGGAAAACAACTTTGCAAATCAAATGCAGATGCGAAAGGCAAAGAAGAAGGAGAACGACGGATTAGAAAAGGTCAGACTTTTATTTTAACCCACTGCCATTCCGCTCACACTGCTTTACGCTAAGTGGGCAACACGTGCCGGTTCGACGCGCACAATCAACGCACAATCAACGCACTCAGCGCATACAGACAACAAGTGCACCGGGCCCCAAGGATCGGTTGAATGTTGCCTCGTTACGTCGACTCTATCCGACTATCCGGGAAAACTGCTTATAAAATTGGGGTGTGATTTTGAAATCCCAAACAAAACAAAGCTTTCCAAGCTTATAACTTTTGACAGAGTGCTCCAGATCAGAAGCGCCAAACAGAAACGGAATTATCGAAAAATTCTGTGTCGGATTGTTTATGGCTTGTTTCACCTTCATTATGTGGGTGGGATACTATTACAGTATTTACGGTATGTGGTGTCTTGCGTGTCGGGGAGACGCGACTAGCGTGATTCGGTGTTCAAGTCGATCACCTATCACCGGCACGTGTTGCCCACTTACCGTAAATACTGTAATAGTACCCCACCCCCATAATGACGGTGCGGAGCGTTGCGTAGTCTAGCTTTGAACGCGTTTTTCTCGACACTGGTTTATGCTACAATGCTCGCATAGGTATCAAAAAATAGCCCTGAATTTCAGCTATTTTTTGATACCTATGCGCGCATTGTAGCATAAACCGGTGTCGAGAAAAACTCGCTCAAAGCTAGACCACGCAACACTCCGCACCTTCATTATGGGGGTGGGATACTATTACAGTACTTACGGTATGTGGTGTCTTGCGTGTCGGGGAGACGCGACTAGCGTGATTCGGTGTTCAAGTCGATCACCTATCCGATCCGTCTCGAAACACGGATCAAGGAGTCTACCACACACAGTTGATATTCCATTCTGAATACAGTATTGAACTCTGCTATCAAAACTGATGCTTTGTTTATCTAGACTTTTTTGCTTAAAGATCATCTTTTATTGTTTTCAATAGCTTGCCAAGAAATTTGAGTCGTTTACCAGAAAGAATGTGTTTACGGCAAAAAGCAAAAGTTGATGAAACTCGACCGACAAAACTTTGATCTTTTGAAAAGTAAATAACTTTCTTTTTTTGCCAATCCCTTACTTCAATTGCTCTTACTTCAATGATTGCTAATTTTCGAGAAATCTCTAGCTCTTTTTGCTTAAAGAAAAGCTTTGCCAAGAGGGTGTTGGTCAGCTTTCTGGCCACTTTTCTTGACATTCGATATCTTTCGATTTTCTCACTTTTCCGAAGAAAACTGAGCACTCTAAATGAAAAGTTTCGACTAATGAGCTGTGAAAAGTGCTCTTGGAAAGATCACTATACCAAAGATTGAATTGATTTCAGAGATTTTTGTGTACTTTGGTGGAAAGGCGCCTTTCTGGCGCGCGCAGTTCATTTGTTTGAAAATATGAAATTACAAGGAATTCAGTCCACTAGGATCTATGCATTTCTATTTGAGCACAAAGAATATTTAAAAGTAGACAATGAAAGAGAATCTTACGAGCATAAGAAATCGATTTGATGGATTTGATTTGATGGATTTGATTTGATGGATTTGATTTGATCGATTTGATTTGATCGATTTGATTTGATCGATTTGATTTGATCGATTTGATTTGATCGATTTGATTTGATCGATTTGCTCAATCGATTTGATCTTGATAATAATAATAATAATGATTTGATCTGTCTTCGCACTTAGCGCAGATCACAACCTGCTTCCACATTTACTGAGGCAGAAGTGTAGTTGTCGTAGCCGATGATACTCCGATGGCCGGGCTGGGGCGCTCGAAGGGGAACCCTGGGAGCTTGAGCCTCGGCTAACCCACGCCGACGTTGCTCAACTTGGCAGATCGGACGGGGTCGACCACAGACCCTTTCTTTCTGGGCCCCTTTGATCTTGATCAATTTGCTTAATCAATTTGATCTTGATCAATTTGCTCAATCAATTTCCTCAATCAATTTGATCTTGGTTTAGATTAGCTCTAGATTGTCAAAGCTAGTGAAAAAGCAAAGTTTGAAAGTTTTCCAAATCAATGACATCTTTATCGATGTAGTAAGCTCACTTGAATCCCTACCAGCAGTCGGCTGCTTTTGTTGAACGATGACAGCCGGTGTGATCTCGATATCCGATTGACAACAACGATTGAACGATCGGAGACAGACTGCCGAGAAGCCATTTGGAGGCTGAACTCTTGAAGATCCAATTTAAAAGTAAAATAACCAACCAAGCAAGGTTCATTTCGACGAACAAGTTCCTGGGCGAGAAGACAGCAATCACAGCATTCCTAGAAGTTCAATTCCTAGAAATTCCTTGATTCTTACTCTACAAAGTGTTCAATATTTGGAAATCAGTAGATTACTGGGTTTAGACCACATTTTCTACAAGTTTCTACAAGTTTAAGGCTAAAATGAAACACCGATCAATACGATAGGTGATTGATTAAAGCTTACAAACCTTTTTCAACCCTCCACCAAGTACGTTAATGTTCGTCGGACACGTTTGCTCGTTTTTCCCCATTGTTGCTCCTGAAGATGAGCTTTAAGAATAAGTCTAGATATCTAGATCTATCTAGATTTAGATAACTAAGTATATCTAGAAACTTTGAGATAAACAGTCACAATTTCCCCCTCACCTGCATCACAAGAAGCGTCCATCAACGATCTCAAACAACAAATCGACGCCGTTCGCACGCAAAGCATTGAGGAACCTTCAAATATTAGAATTATCATTCATTTTTAGTGTTTTTGAACTTGTTTAAAGATTAGAAACTAGAAAAATAGTTACCCTAAAGATCGTTGGGGTGATAAAAAGGGACGGAGCCGAGTTTGTATTGCTTTTTTTTTTGACTTTGACACACTGAACCAACGATTGATTCTATTTATTGGATTTTCTAGATTATTGATTGTGCTAGATTCGGAATAAATCCTGTATTTTCTCTTAGTGCACCAAAAGCTTTGTCTAAATTCCCCGAAATCTCGAGAACCGCTTATCAGAACCTAATCGATGTGCGGGCGGAAAATGTAGCTGACGATGAGATCTTGTGGGGGATTTGAGTGTTGAGCTTCTGGGACAACTTTGGAAGCCTTAAATAGTCACCAACTCGGCTCGCTGGGGTGCACTATTATTAGAGAAAATACGGTAAATCTGTCAGTGTTGAGCGTTTGCTTTTGATACTTTTTACTTGTCCATCTGCTTTTGATTTCAAAAAATACTTAGAAAAGATTTATTTGTTCTAACCGTTAAATGATGCGTTTAAAGTGTTGAATAAGTGATAACTTAATCTTTATCTTCTTTCTCTTTCTTTCTTTCTCTTCCTTGTCTTTCCTATTTCTTGGGCAAAGAAAGCAATAGCTCAGTGCTAACAGCTCTACAGCTCTGCCTGGTAAGCAGAAGGTCGGGTTCAATTCCCCATTGGTTTTTTCTTTCTCATTCATTTCTTTACATAGTAACTAGTAGTTTTTGGTTTGTAAAAACGATAATTGGAAAAATACGGCCTCAAAAATCTTTCTCTTTCTTTCTTTCTCTTCCTTGTCTTTCCTAAGCTTTGGTATCTGGTAAGCAGAAGGTTTGGCAAGCAGAAGATCAAGGGTTCAATTCCTTCTCGATCCCTTACCATTCATTTCTTTACCATTAGATTCCAACCTTCACTCCTGATTGCCGAGCAAGTGGCGGTTTGTTGAAAATGTCGAGCACCACCCGAACAACATCGCGACAATTCACTTGATTCTAAAAGTTTGAAAGTTATAAGAAAGTAAGACTCATTTGGAAACTAAAAGTTTAAAAGTTTTATTTTAAAAGTTTAATTTTAAAAAACTCCCACTTAGCATAAAATTTTCTATAAAATAAGCTAGGTTTCTTGGTGGAAAATAAAGAATGATCCCTAGAAAACAGCTAAAAATCGAAGCAAGACTGATCGGATTGGGCTCATTTGAGAGTCCGCAAAATCCTTTACATATTTCTTTAAAAGGATAATATTCAAAATAGTAACTTTTCAATTCAAAATCGACCATTTCACTCTACTTCTACAAATCATTAGCTTTACTAAGTGATTTATAAGTCTATTAAGGACGAAATCTACCGGTTCGGTACATGTCAACCGGTTCAAAGGCTCAAAGCAGCTCTGGTTTAATTGGCCAGCTTTGAATCATGAAAAAAATTTTACTATTCAGCTAACACAGTTACTCAGGTGTAGTTAAAGAAAACTGTAGGTTTAATGAAAAAAAAAGGCGGCGCTAGCCGTTAGCCTTCGCACTAAGTCCAAGCCTAAGCCTAAGCCTAAGCCTAAGCCTAAGCCTAAGCCTAAGCCTAAGCCTGAGCCTGAGCCTGAGCCTGAGCCTGAGCCTGAGCCTGAGCAAATCATTAGCTTTACTAAGTGATTTATAAGTCTATTAAGGACGAAATCTACATGTCAACCGGCTCAAAGGCTCAAAGCAACTCCGGTTTAATTGGCCAGCTTTGAATCATGAAAAATTTTTATTATTCAGCTAACACAGTTACTCAGGTGTAGTTAAAGAAAACTGTAAGTTTAATGAAAAAAAAACCCAACCTGTTTTTCCAAATATCAATAGAATTAACAAAAAAATACTCAGCAGATGAAAATCTCTCATTATCTAAAATATTAATAATTTCCAATAAATTGAAAGAAAAGATTTGAAAGAAAAGATTTTTAAAAAAAGATTTTAATTGAAAGCTTGAGAACTTTGAAGTGTTCCCTTTTCTTCATTTCTTTTATGTTTTTTTTTTCGTTTATTTTCACACTTTAATGTCAAATGCGATAAGGAGAATGGCGAGGGAAAAGCAAAATTTTGGAAAAGCTAAAAAGATTGAAAGTTGATTGAAAATTCTGAAATGAGAAGAATTTTTGAGAGAGACAATGACAAGACAATGACAAGACAATGACAAGACAATGACAAGACAATGACAAGACAATGACAAGACAATGACAAGACAATGACAAGACAATGACAAGACAATGACAAGACAATGACAAGACAATGACAAGACAATGACAAGACAATGACAAGACAATGACAAGACAATGACAAGACAATGACAAGACAATGACAAGACAAATGACAAGACAATGACAAGACAATGACAAGACAATGACAAGACAATGACAAGACAAATTGACACCTCTCATCAAATCATTACTTTTTTCAAATATTCAATGAAAAAGCTTTATAACAATGCTAAAGATCACTTCATTTAGTTGATTTCGTTGATTTAGTTGACTTCATTCTTTGTGCTCGACTTTCTGACGTAAACACAAACCTTTCTTACGATTTTAGCTTATTCGTGAAAAATCCTAAATCAAGTGCACCAGAAAGAATGTGTTTCTGGCTTAAAATTCACCAGATAAGAAAGAAAAGTTCGAATTTTATCTGCCAATAGCTTCCACTCCAAAAAAAAAACCTAACCCATCCGATAGAAAATCAAACGGCGAATTCAAATCTGGGGGTAGGCTAATTTTCGCCATTTTATTTGCGCAACTCGCCATAACTTTCTTCTAAGTCGACCAATCTTTATGATTTTGGTTTCATTTTGTAGATCTCAATAAGTGTAACAAAATAACACCAAAATCATAAAGATTTGCCGACTTAGAAGAAAGTTATGGCAAGTTACGCAAACGACCTAGTTGCGCAAATGACCCAGTTGCGCAAAAAATTTGGCGCAAAGTAACCTATCCCAGAGACGAAAGAACTGAACAAGCCAAATAAAAAATAGGTACAATAAGTCGTCAGCAGTTGGAAAAAAGAGAAAACGAGATGCTGGGTCATTTGCGCAACCAGGTCGTTTGCACTTGCCATAACTTTCTTCTAAGTCGGCCAACCTTTATGATTTTGGTTTCATTTTGTAGATCTCAATAAGTTTAAAAAAATGAAACCAAAATCATCAAGATTTGCCGACCTAGAAGAAAGTTATGGCAAGTTGCGCAAACGATCCAGTTGAGCAAATGATCCATTTGCGCAAAAAATTTGACGCAAAGTAACCTATCCCCAAATCTGTAATCAAAATCTGTGAAATAGATTGTAAACGCGAGATTTCCCGGATCAAAGTTTTTGCTTTAAATTCTTGAGCTGAAATTTAGCGCTTCACCTTTCAACAGGGCTCGTGGTGTAGCGGTTAATGTGCTTGTTTACGGAAAGGATCAATGTTTTGTAATGAGTTCAAATCTCGCACTTGGCAAACGTTTTCTCTTCCCCCTACATAGTTAGTGTCAGCTTAGTTTTACCATAATTTGTTGACCTGTTCTTTGTGCCCTAGCAAACGCTAGCTGCCTACCACACAAAGCCTTGAATCTATTCTTTCAGCTTAGGAAATTGAAACGCATCCTTTCTGGCGCATTGAATTTTTTGCTTTTCTCGAAGCAAAGATGAGATATTATGAGAAAATGATGAAATCATCGCCCCAGAAAGGTTATGTTTACAGATTTTTTTGAGCACAAAGTGCACTTTAAAGTTTACTAAAAAGGTTTGCATTATCTAAAAGGTTTATTGTAAAGATGATCTCTTGAAGTCTTGAAGATTAGAGTGCGCTAAAGTGCCGTTTTTCTAGAGTCAAAATGACAGCGCGTGCGCGTTAGCGCGCTTTTCTATTTGATTCTATATCTCGATTTTCAGCAATCCGTTCGACTTAGGGTTAGTTTTAAAAGGATTCCCATTAAATTTGGTTATAGAAAAGTACAATTTATTTTGTATACTCACGTATAAGAACATAGAGGAAATTTGTGTCAAAGTTGAACTTCCAAATTCCGTTACGAGTCTCGGAGTTTGGGAACTTTTCTATTTTACTCTATAACTCGTCTCCCAGTAATCGGTTCGATTTCAGGTTGATTTTAAAAGGATTCCCATTAAATTTGGTTATAGAAAAGTAGAATTTGTTTTGTATACTCACCTGTGAAAACATAGAGAAAATTTGTGTCAAAGTTGAACTACCTACCTGGAAAAGTTGATCAACTTAGATGGTCTATAACTCGAGGTATAGAAATTGGATCAACTTATGGTTAGTTTTAATAGAATCTTCATTAAATTTGGTTATAGAAAAGTGGAATTTGTTTTGTATACTCTTTAATAAAAACATAGAGAAAAACCGTCTTGAAGATTAGTGCGCTAAAGTGACGTTTTTCTATAGTCAAAATGACACTTTAGCGCGCTTTTCTATTTTGGAACTAGTTAAGGAAAGTTTTATTTCTAAATTTGTAAATAAAATAGAATAAAGTGACCAAAATAGCATCGAAATGGCCATTGTGTTGAAGGAAATGTGTTACAGGTGGGCACCGATCATTCGAGTGAAAAAAAGAGAGCCAACGCGGAGAAAACTCAGCGACAAATTGAGAGCGATAGAGGAAAAGTCGAAAAGGATTTGAAAGCAACAAAAAAGAAGAGGAGAAACAGCTGACACTGACAACAAGCGCTCGCAGAGAAAGTGGGAAAAATCGGCTTGGAAAGTGACTCTGATTTAGCATTTGAGGCGAAGATTGATGAAAACAAGGTCCCCCATTCACGCGTTTCGGTCAACACATCGGTTTTTGATTTTCCGCATTTCTAGTAAGTTATCTGCTGAATGATAGTAAGAGATGTTCAACTGGATTCTGGATTCAACTGGGTTCTACGGTTTATCGATCATGCAGAGCGCCAGGAATTAGAGATGTTGAGCTTAATGCTAAGTTTTGTCAGTCAGGCAAGAGCTGATCTAGCCAGGCAAGAGCTGTTCTAGCTAGTCAAGAGCTGATCTAGCTAGGCAAGAGCTGATCTAGCAAGGCAAGAGCTGATCTAGCCAGGCAAGAGCTGATCTAGCCTACTTGGTTTTAGCTGGATCTAAGCCAATTCTAGAGTAACAGGACACCAAGATGTTGTGAGATTTGAATTGTGAGATTCGAAAGCCGGATCAGTTCAAGCCTAGATCTGTCTGAAGCTAGGTTCTAGGCCTAGCCAGAGTCCAGGCCAGCTCTGACTCTGGTCTTGCTCTGGTCTTGCTTCTGGCAGACCACTTTTTGTGGCTCCTGACAGGTTAGCTCAGCAGTAAAGCTAGGCTAGGCTCTGTCTTTGCTTCCTTGAGTCTGTCTAGACTCCAAACTCTTGAGCAACCATCACTTCCTTTCCATCATCACTCCCTCACTTCCATCATCACTTCCTCAATCATCGCTTCCTTCCTAAGTGGACCAAACCCCATTAGCTCACCATTGGTAATGCTAATCATAATATAAAACGAGAAAAAAACTTGAAAACAACTAGTTCTGAAAGTGGCACTGAAAGTCAATAAAATAGAAAATTTGATTTTATAAACGATTAGTGCAAAAGTTGTTAAGCAAAAAGATAAGCAAAAAGTAAAGCTGAGTGGCAAAATTTTGAGAATAAAAGATACAAAAAGGGGTCAAAGATACAGAGAGAAATATTGGTGCAAATATTTTATTTTATCGGTTCAACGGTTCGCGCATTTATTTACAAAGGGAAAAAGCCCGATTCCCGATTTCTTCTCATTTCCAGATAACACTTTTCTTTTGACCAAAACGAACAGAGGAAATGCAAATTTTCCTTCGACAAACATTACGATATTTCAAAGAGAATGCGGCAGGCACCGATGGCGTAATCGGCAGGAAAAGGGTAAAAGAAAAATTGTCAAGAAAATGGAAATTGTCAAAGTAAGTTTGGGGTTTATGATTGAATTGTTTCAATCGTATTGACTTCAATTCAATTCGTTGAAAGTTTTGAACCAGTTTCCATTTTGCTAAAGTTGTTTAGCAAAGCAAAATGGAAACTGGTTTAAAGTCAAGTCATTTTTGTTTAACTTGTCGACGGTTTTCAGTTTCTTGTGTGATCTCTTTTGAATCAAGATTTTAAAAGAATCTTCATTAAATTTGGTTATAGAAAAGTGGAATTTGTTTTGTATACTCTTTAATAAAAACATAGAGAAAAACCGTCTTGAAGATTAGTGCGCTAAAGTGCCGTTTTTCTATAGTCAAAATGACACTTTAGCGCGCTTTTCTATTTTACTCTATAACTCGACTTTCAGTAATTAGATCGATTTCAGGTTGGTTTCAAAATGATCCTCATTAAATTTGGTTATAAGAAAGTAGAGTTTGTTTTATGAACTCAGATATAAAAACATAGAGAAAATTTCTGTCAAAGTTGAACTACCTTCCTCGAAGAGTGGATCAACTTGAATGGTCTATAACTCAAGATATAGAAGTTGAATCAACGTGGGATTGCTTTTAGAAGAATTCTCATTAGATTTGACTAGAGAAAAGTGGAATTTTTTTTGTATACTCACCTGTGAAAACATAGAGAAAAACAGTCTTGAAAAGTAGTGCGCTAAAGTGCCGTTTTTCTATAGTCAAAATGGCTTTTTATTTTACTCTATAATTCGACTTCTAATTATCAGATCGACTTGAGGTTAATTTTAAAATGATCCTCACTAAATTTGGTTATAAAAAAGTACAACTTATTTTGTATACTCATGTATAAGAACATAGAGAAAATTTGTGTCAAAGTTGAACTTCCAAATTCCGTTACGAGTCTCGGAGTACCAGTTTACTGCTTCATTTTTGTGTTAAAAGAGTTCACATTTGAGCGTAAAATGCTAAAAATAAATATCTTGTAGGTAA